TTATTTTGACAACTCTGTTGCAGAAAGACTCTTCTGTAGAGGGAAGCTATTCAGGTCCTCTAATGTTTGAGAAACTTCCAGAAGTAAATGAGGATGGTTCTCGGTGGACAGATAGTGAGGTTCAAGATGCTATCAACTTTATTAACCAAAATCTACAAAAATTGGAGTCATACTTATCTACAATAGTAAGAGTTCTGATCTAGAATCGTTCTTGCTGATTTATAATGTGTTTATTTGTATTTTTTTTCCCATGATTGTCTTTTGAAATTTAAGAAACCATTGATTTAATTCTTGCTTGCTGCAATAGTAGTTGGATCCTATGATTGAAAGAGGTTTTGATATATCTGTTTGTACAGCAGCAAATTGTAAGAAAAGAAAACTCTTTGCCTTCTATGGAAAAATAAAACACCAATGATTAGCTCTATCCCTTCTTTATCCTCTATAACGAATTCATCTTCATCTAGAATTACTTTTTTGTTATTTTTTGTAAAGAGAAGGATACTTTGTGGCTCATATATTCTTTCTGCAAACTATTAAGCAATCTTAATAAATTTATGCAAGGGTTAAGTGGTGTTCTTAACCCAGTAGGTATGCCATTCTTCCAAACCAACTGGTTATGAGTTTATGTGTTCCTCATTCTGTATTTCTGTTTACTTTGTTATACTATCTCTGAACTACTAATTTTCACACAAGAGCTTTATAATTTCCAAGATTAACAGAGAAGAAAGTATCTCTTGGATTTCATATATAATTATCTATCACTTTTACTTAGTCTCCTGGTTAATTTTGTTTCTCCTTCAATTTTTAGGATTTTATGTCTTTGCTTGTAATTTTTTCCTAGGTTATGAAGCACAAGAGGCCAAGGAAAGTAACTCTTCACTGGATGCGCTATACGTGTGGGATCGTTGGCATCTCTATCTGTTCTTTATGGGTTCTCCGCCATAGCCGTTTAATGGGGAGTTCTGACATTGACAATTGGATTTGTGAAGCAAAAGAATCAACAATTAGTTTTTGGAATGATCATGTAGAGCAACCGGTGAGCAGCATATCATGACTAATATTGAATCTCAATACTCATTTTTTTTTTTCATGAAATTCCATATCTCAGCGATAAATCTCTTTGACCAAATAATCTCCTCAAACACTCAGAATTTCTTTTAATAATGTTAGTAATGAAATACTGAGAGATTTGTTTCAACTGAGTTCCTATTGTATTTGGCATCTGTGATTGTCTGATTGATGCCTATGCCATTCAGCTTACTGAATTTTTTTCTCATCTATGCTGAATTTGATTTGTCTTTTTATTTTTCCATCAGCTTCTCTCGATAAGAGATGATCTTTTCCATACATTCAGGAAGAGGCAGAAAGGCGCAATGGAACCTGAAGAAGTACAGATAACTGCTAACTCTCTACACAGGTTTGTTAACTACTGCGAATTGAGAGCATTTTTCGAGCTCTGAATTGCTGATTGAATGTTGTTGAAAACATTATATCCAAGTCATGTAATCTAGTTTTGCATATGAGCAAACTGGCTCACAAGTAGCTTGAGCCTTGAATGTCCGACTTGTTGACCGCCAAGCTTGTCTTTTTTTTTTTAATCGTTGAATAGTATATTGCTTTTGGTATGATAATAATGTGACAAAATTAATCTTGTACCATTGTTTCCTATATAAAGTGCTATCAGATCTTCACCCTTTCACACCAAAATGTCCAACCTTAGCCTCACAACTCTCTTTCACCAGTTTCCATCCTTTTCTCACCAGCAGCAGTTATACATTTCTAGTCCTCCCATTTTTCTTTTAGAATCATCCATTGCATGTTTTGCTGTTTCTCTCTTCAACTGATCCGCTACACTGATTGCTGTGCTGTGCGTTCCCTAACCGTAAATAGAATTTTGATGTACGCAAGGAGTTTAATATTGCTGAAGTATTGCTTTCCTTACCTCAACATTATCTATAAAAGATTATGAAATGATTTGCAGAATGTTGCGAGCTTTCACCGAGCAAACAAAAGGCACGATGCTTCCAGAGAATGCCACAGACAATGAAATGCTAGAAGTAGTAATGGAAAGGTGCGAACAACCCCCCCCCCCCCCCCCCCCCCCCCCCCCCCCCCTTCCTTTTTGCCAATGCTTGCAAAAAAAGAAAAATTGAATTAATGTTTCCTTACAGCTTGGCCTCTCTAAAAAATGGCTGCTTTTGTTTGAAAAAGCAACTTCTACCTAAGTTTTCATAAATACCTATATTTTGGTCTGGTATTTTAGTTATTAAAAACCTTAGATATATTAGATCATTATTACTTGAATCCCAAAAGTGAATCTCGTGTGGCATGTAAGACCAAAGTCCTTACACAATGCATCGCAATTTGATAGCTAATTAGCTACCCATGGACTTGTACTGCATCTGTAATCTTGAACTTTTATCTGAAAATATATAGTGCCAAACTTTGGTCAGTTATTTGATCTGTATTTGTGCAAGATGTAAGCATGCATTATTATTGAGGTTCTGCAAATACGCTCTGAAGCGATACTTGTTAGTGTAGATATGAAAAAGAAGTGATGCATCCACTCCAAAATCTTCTCTCCGGGGAGCTTGCCCGTGCTTTACTTATCCAGGTATAACATACCGTACTATCTCACATGCTAGTGTCACAACAGGCATTTTAGTTTTTTAGAGAATGATAATAGTGTCTGGTTTTGGCATATGACATTTTGTTTTATGATTTCAGGTCCAGAAGCTAAAACTCGACATTGAGGAGTGAGTTAAATAGGCTAATGCTGTTATCCCGTTATCATTTCTTCTTAGATGTCAATTTCTATTCATTCTTTTCCCTGATAGAAGCTTTTCAAATCAGGGCAATGCTTGAGCTGGATCAAATTCTTCGAGCAAATGAAATTAACTTTGCTATCCTAGCCGCTTTACCAGCCTTTTTCCTCTCCCTTGTCGTAATCATGTTGGTGCGTGCATGGTTTAAACAGGTACGATTGGCTTTTTATTTCTCTGTAGTCTACTTTAGTTTGGGATAAATATACAAACACTTGTGCACTTGAGCAGATAATGCGGTTTAGTGCTTTCCTTAAACCAAAAGAGAAGAAAATGCAAATTACAAACTGAAAATTGTATGGATGTATGTATCTGACCTGCATCTCTCGCACATTGAAAATAATTTTTTTAATTTTGAATCAGGATACTAGAGCGGAAGGCAGGGGAAGAGTTGCTCGAATTCAAAGAAGACTCCTTATTGTACAAGTTGAGAGAAGGATTATGCAATTAGAAAGCTGCAAGGATCAAGGACTAGTAAGAACACTTACCTTGAACTATACGCTTGATGACTTTATCTATTATTTTTTATTTTTTAAAGATGTTTTGGACAGATGGAAATGTCATAAGCTCGAAAAACTACACTTCCTGTTTTAGTGCGTTAACCTTTCACCTATAATAGCTTTGCAATGAAATGCATGGCGATTGGCGAGCCTTCAAATGCAAAATGCAGTAATAGCTGCAATAGCTATGAAAGCAAAACCTCCAAAATGGATATGACTTGAATGGTGTCAAACTATTATATTCATATTGTTCCCGGGGAATTTCTTCCAAAGTACTTTATGTATGACTTTCAGGAAAAGGATGCTCAATTCATTTTCGGCTTGGTGCTTTATTATCTGGACCGCCTGCACTCTGCAGCAGAGTTGCACGCGAGGGCAACTGGTGAATGGATAAGGTATGTTCGCCTTTTCATTGTTTTCGTTTAAAGCCATTTGAACATATACATACAGAAGTGTATTTATATAACATTCTGGCTGCTCGTATCGTATCAGTTTGAGACAGGATATCATCGATCTAGCAAAACCAGACATCCAGACTGCACATAAACTGAAGATTACTTCACGAATGGAGCGCGTCTATGACTGCTTGCTTCCTCTACCGAAACGCCAGTAGTTCTGCCATATCAGCAGCGCTCTCGAGCCCCCCAGCCTTGGAGTAGATCAAGCAATGCTCTACGAGTCTTGGACTCGCGATTATGTTGCAGCACTTTCTCCATCTCATTTTTGTCATACTTATTCTGGAGCATTTGCTCTTCCAGTTTTCTCTTCTTTCTCTTTTCAGTTTCTGTTATTCTCCTCTGAAACTACCCTTATAATACAATTCACCAAGTAACCTTAGTTACTACGGAGTATTAATGAATTTTCATTGACATGATAAATACAATATAATTTTATATACACATTAATTCATTTTGTGTTGTGTATAGTAGTTACTAATGATCTTTGATTCTAGTACAAGTATCTTAATTCTCAAGTAAGGCCTTGACTCTCAATTGTCAGAAGCTCCAAAAGTAAAATATCAAGTTTGGTCTCAGATACACTGTTGCAAAAAATTGGCCTAAGTGACTGCCTAGGCGCTAGGCTGAGGCCAATTATCCCTAAGCGATCGGCCACCTAGGGGTAAAATCTCGAGTTTGGTCTTTGGTACATTGTTGCAAAAATTGACCTAAGCGGCTCCCTAGGCATTAGGTGCCCTTAGGATAAAACGAATAACCCTCTAGGCGTCCAACTCGGCTGACTAATGCCTAGCGTCTACTACAACTATGCTCTCAGGTAAATAGAATAACATGTGTTGAGAGATTGAATGTTCCATATTTAATAACAACAATACAAATGGCTTGTAATTAAAGTGAAGAAACTTAATTTTTTTTTAATAATATATGTCTAGGCCAATTAATAAGACTGAAATTATTTACTAAATAAATAAAATAGAAAAAAATTAATTTGATTAACGAATAATAGGTAAAATGAAACTGATAAAATAATAATAAATTTATTCCCATAACTTTTAGAATTAGTAAATAGTAAATTTATCCCCGTAGCTTTTTTAGTTTTTAACTATTCATGATTAACCAGACTCAAATTTAAATACTCCGTATTAAAGACAAATTTAGAAAGTGAATTAAACATTGGTAAAAAAAAAAAAAAAATGTTACCGGAGCGTCACCGTATGTAAAAATTTTGACATCAAATGCGCTGAGAATCTTACGGAGTACTACATCAACGGTAACATTCACATTTGGGAGCCTCTAACGGCTAGTAGTTAAAAAGGAAAGTATTCCAATTCCATCACAGCCGTCCGATCAAACCCAATCCAACGACGACCCTTACAGAGAGTGAAAAATATGACCGTTGAAGAAGAGCCGCTTCGCAGCAATTTAAATCCCAAACAGCGAACTCCTCAAACCCTCGCCTCCATAACCAGATTTCACTCCAATCCAATCTGCTCTGCAAATATAAGATTCTAGAGAAGAAAGCGAAGGGGAAGAAGAAGAAGGAATCTTTAGAGAGGATATAAATTGTGGCGACTGAAAACCACGCAGAAGGAGCGACGCACAACAGTCGTCTCCATTCTTTCATTTCGTGGATTTTTGGTCGGAATAGCGCAGAGGAAGAAGAAGAAGAAGCTCCATCCATGGCGTCTAGAGCTGTTCTGCGTGACCAACCACCCAGAGGTAACCCTATATAGATTCAACTTTTTCTCTATGGTGTTTAATTTCTTGAGGAATTTCTGGTTTCTGGGTTCTTCAATAAGATCTGGTGGTGTTTATCTTATCTTCTTGAATACATATGAAATGTTAGGCCAAGAAAAAGTAAAAATTTGTGTGATTGTGTGATATGGGGACTAAATTTTGAGTCTTTAGGGGGGGAAGGATTGAAGCAGAAGAATGTTGCAGCAGATGGGAGAAACAGAAAGGTTCTCAGAGACATTGGGAATCTGAGAAATGCTCCACTTGATCAGATTGGCCGCCCCACCACTAGAGGATTTTGTGCTCAAGACAAAATCAAGGCAAGTTCATTTCTGATCAATTTTCGGTCCAAATTCGTGTCCATAGAGTTTGGCTCTTACTCGGGGGCTCGTGATAATGGAAGTTTAATGTTTGATTTGCAGAAGCCAGTGGTGGCAGCACAGAAGAAAGCAGCTGCTGTGAAACCTTCCCCTGCAAGATCAATCATTGTCATAAGCTCTGATGAAGAAGATGAAGAAGAAGTAGAAATCTTGAGTGGAAATAAGAAGGAGAAGAAGAAAACTGGAAAGACTTTCTCCTCTACTCTCACTGCAAGAAGCAAGGCTGCCTGTGGAATCACCAAGAAGCAACAGAATGAACAAATCCTGGAGATTGATGCAGCAGATTCTGGCAATGAATTGGCTGTGCTTGACTATGTTGAAGATATCTACAAATTCTACAAGCTCTCAGAGGTCCAACAATGGCTTCCAATCTATATAAAATAGTGTATATTTGACGGGCTTTTTATCGAACAGCTTGCGTGCTTACATGGTTTCTGATTTTTCTGTGTGATTTAGGATGAAGGTCGAGTGGGAGATTACATGGCGGCGCAACCGGAGATCAATGCGAAGATGAGAGCTATTCTTGTGGATTGGATGGTGGAAGTTCACCGGAAGTTTGAGCTCATGCCGGAAACTTTCTACCTTACGGTTAACCTAATTGATCGATTTCTTTCGATGAAGACGGTTTCCAGGAAGGAGCTTCAGCTGGTAGGGATAAGCGCGATGCTGATCGCCTGCAAGTATGAGGAAATCTGGGCGCCGGAGGTGAACGATTTCATCATGATTTCCGACAACGCGTATGTTAGGGCTCAGGTTTTGGCCATGGAGAAGACGATTCTCGGGAAGCTGGAATGGTACTTGACGGTTCCGACGCCGTACGTTTTTCTCGTGCGGTACATCAAGGCGGCGGCCGGCGGCGGCGCGGATGATGGAAAGGAGGTGGAGAACATGAGCTTTTTCCTGGCGGAGCTCGGCGTGATGAGCTACTCAGCCGTCAAATACGGGCCGTCGATGCTGGCGGCATCCGCCGTGTACGTTGCGCGGTGCACGCTCAACGCCGCCGCGGCTCCGCGGTGGACTGAGACGCTCCGGCACCACACGGGGTTTTCGGAGGAGGAGATCGCGGATTGCGCGAAGATGCTGGTTGGCTTCCATGCCGGCGCGGCGGAGAATAAGCTGAAGGCCGTTTACAGGAAATTCTCCAGCCCGGATAGAGGCGCCGTCGCCCTCTTCCCCCCGGCGGCAGCGCTTCTACCACCGCCTACCGCCGCCGCCATAACTTGTTGAATTCCTGGTTCAAATACTACGCCCATGGGATCAATGCTTGAATGATCGATCTATGTCATGTTTTTTTTTGAAGCCATCGATCTATGTTATGTTAGAATATTAATTTGAAGGATTTAGTAGTAAAGACATTAGTTATGTTTTTTGTTTGTTAATATGTTTGGTTTGGTTTTCACTTTGCCCATGCTATGTAAGCATATGGATATCTTCATACTTTTAGTAATGCAATATTTCTTTCGACTTAAAAAACAAGTTATATTATAGAAGTTTATAATTCCAATATTAAAAATCATTTAGGATTGGAAAAAGGGTCAAATAGGCCATCGAACTTTAACTTAAAAGTTAATTAGACCCTTAAACTTTTTAAAGGTGCAATTACACCCATCAACAATTCATTTAGGTGCAATGAAGCCCTAAAATAAGTTAATGACCTGCTATCACAGGTCATTAGGGTTCAGGCCACTTTCCGGCGAATTTTTCGGCAAAAAAAGTGACCAGTAACCGACCCAGATTTGCCAAAAATTTCGTCGGTCTCTTTTTTGTCAGAAATTTCGCCAGTCACCTTTTTTTTTTTTTTTGCCGAAAATTTGCCGAAAGGTGGCCTGAACCTAATGACCTGTGATAGCAGGTCATTAATTTATTTTTGGACTTCATTGCACTTAAATGAATTGTTGAGGGGTGTAATTGTACCTTTAAAAAGTTTAGGAGCCTAATTAACTTTTAAGCTAAAGTTTGAGGGCTTATTTGACCCTTTTCCCTTTAGGATTATGTATCACCTTGTAAGGTGGACCCTAATACATGGTATAACCTTTTAGGAGAAGGGCAAATTATTGTGTGGACCATAGTCTGCAGTGCTATGTGGACCATAACAAAATGTACATTTTAAGATACTAAATGTACATTATCTGTGTACTGAATTTACATTATATAATATAATATAATATAATGTACACTCAGTATATAAATAATGTACATTCCCTTAATACAATATACATTTTTAATATACTAAAAGTACATTATTTTTACACTATACAAAATATGAACCATACAACTTTGATTTAAAATATGCTCTAAACTTTAAAATAAGTTAGACCAAATATACTCATTAAATTAATAAACGAATAGCCAGAAATCAACAAATAACTAGAAAGCAACAAGGTTATTATCTATAACGAAAAAATCATATATTATAATCAGTAAATTGTCACTTTTTCTTATTGTAGTTTTGATCACCATGTTTTAGAGTTACTTGATAAGATGTTGACTCTTGACCTATTTCGAGTAATTTTAAATTGAAAAATCATTAAAGATAAATTTATAAAAAGGGATCCTTACTGCATATGTTACCCAATAAGGCCTCCAAAATCATGTTAAGTTAATGGTTGACGATTATTTGACATGCAGATTCCCTCCCGGGGGATATGGCCACAACCACAACCCCCGGCCACCAAAACCAAGGGCACGGTGGGGGTTATGGCAGCGGTCCATATCCACCTCAAGGACGCGGTCATCAGCATGGGCCATCTAGAATGTCTGGCGCTAGCCCCCGAGCAGGCGGGAGGCAGTGGCCATGGGGCTTTGGGGTCTGCACATGGCTGAACCAGCAACAACATAAAGACACAACATGCTTTTGTCTGGTTAGTCCTTGCAAGATAAAAACAGCAATATACTAATGTCCCAAACTCCTTACCTCAAATAGAAGAGAAAAAAGCACATGCAATGTGGAGTACTCTGCTGCTTTCTTTTTTCCACTTTTTACAAAGACCTCTAAATATATAACACTTCCCTACTATTATGCATGAGAATGCTACATGTAGAAGGTTGTTATGGCAACATGTATGTATGTACCCCAATGACCCAATCTGTATATGACCTTTTCTATGAACAAGAATGAAAAAAATCCAAAACGCTAGCGCAGTTGGTTCGACCAATCATTTTAAAGTCTGCTCCAGTGGCAGACGAGCAGTGTAGGAGTTCAAATCTCACTAGAAACCTGTGAGGTCATTGGGAGACCTTGACCAATCAGAGGTGATAAAAGCCCCTTGTGCAGTGTACACCTCACGATTTCCTCATTTCCCTCCTCCAACGACTCTTGAACAGAGGTTTCTGGGAGCTTAAGATTAGTCTGCCGTAAGCTGGAAAACCTAATGTATCAAAACAAACAAAAAAAGAATGAAAAAGAACTTCTGCAAGCTGTCTCTCTGACCTTTATGATCATCATAAATCTTCAGGCACAAGTACTGTTACAGACAAGAATTTATATTGTTTTTCTGGCCCTTTTTTAAGTTTCAGGAGAAGATTTTAAAAGACACAAGTTGCCAGCTAACCTGTTGAATGCAAATACTACATTATCATTGTAGAGTTCAAACACAAGAGGATCTTATTATAGTAACAAAAATAAGGTGTCCCTGAAGGCTTTGAAACTAAAATTTTCTTGGAATTTCAAGAAAATCATCGTGCATGGGCAATCATAGTGCACAACCCATGCACGATGTTTGCACAGTGGCACATGACAAGGAGGGCTCCCTCGCGTGCAGTTCCTGCTAAAGCAAACAGAATGGTCCAAATGCATATTTGGTACAGAACTGCACTTAGTTGAGGTCAGTCTTGAGACCGAAACAGTTTGAGTCGAGCAAGAAGTCTGGTCTGGAGAAAATCTGGTTCAATGCATCGTCCTTGTCATCGCATTGCATTGGGGCCAAGGGAGCATCCTCTTGTGTAAATTTGCATCCTTCAAATTGGCATGGGAATGGAATCACATAATAGTTGGGGTTTAAATGAGAATAATAAACGTTAAAGAGAGGTGAAGAAAGAATATATCCTCACCTGCTAGCATCTCAACTGACTGGTGCTCTTCTAATGAACTTGCACTGATGGGGGTGTACTCGTTGAAAACTGATGCAGCAGAATGACCTAATGGAGAGATTGGGTCACTATATCCTTCCCATTCTGTCTCGTGGAAATCTGGAAATGTATTATCCACGATGTCACTGGGTATGATGGAAGCACCGGAATTCTGCTGAGGTAAAGTGTTCTTGGAATGCTTCAAAGTTTGTGACTCGTAAAGCACTGCTTCCAGAAGGCCACTGTTTCTTGGAGAAACATTACCTGATTCAGAACGCTCAGTGGGAGGCGACTGAATCAAAGTCTCTACAGACTCTAGTGAAGGAAGGGGGGAGGAAGGTGAATCCCAACTAACTATCTGACTTTGGAGTGAAGGGAGCTCCGGCTTCTTTGCCCATGCGGGCTCTAAAGAAGAGGAGTTGCTATTTAAAGAGGCATGGCTGCCAGGAATTACACACGATAACGATGGGTGATCAGGATCCAGATTTTGATAGTATCCAGAAGAAAACCCAGAGGATTGAGAAACCTGCATACAAGTGTCATTCTGATATGGACCAAAGGCTGTGAAAATATCACTGTCGTTGGAACTTAAACCCGTGAACAAGGAATCTGGTCCTCGGAGACGTTTGGAAGGGTTCATAGTTGAGAAGAAAGGTCTTGGACCGTATGAAGAATTTAGACCTTGTGCCAACAAGCTACTTGCGGGGATATCAAGTGGTGATTGCGGATGCAACTGCTGATTTAGTTCCAAATTTTTGAATTCCACAGCGGGGATCTCAAAATAGTTCACTTGCAGAAGATTGGAATGCTGTGTATCCCCAGTCGAGAATGTGCTCATATCCTCATTTTGATTGCTCTCGTGTATGGCTTGCAAATGGACATCCGGAGGGTAGATTGGCAAGCCTGCTCGTTGCCTTCTCTTGATTCTAGTATTCCAATAGTTTTTAATCTCGTTATCAGTACGACCAGGCAACTGAAAGAAAAGAGATGATGCCAAACATAGTGAGTGATAGCAAACCACATGAAAGAAATTATACTTTTTTTTTTAATGTAAACAATTTTGCATGATCTAAGAGCGCGATAACATATTCAAACCAATGAACACATGCAAACAAAGGGCAAATAGAGAATAAATTCATTAAGATTGTTTACAAGCACAAGTACACAACATAGACCCATGGATGCATCATTTATGAGTGATAACAAGCTAGTAGTAGGAGACGAAGTGGCAGATCAAGGGTTCACTGCAGAGTTAAAATTCATAAGACCAAATAGGAAATAAATCTTTAGTTGAATCAAGAAGAGGAAACCATGATCCCAGCCTCTAATGTTTCCTTTGCTGGCATTCATCTGTTGCGGCCCATTTTCTAATTCAGTACATTTAATGCTTTACCACCAAAATCACATTTTGAACCATCGTTGCTCATCAAATTCTCAGAATAATTGCACCTTTAGTTTGAAGAAAAAGGTAGTTTTTCTAAGTAGTTTTATCACTTAAAGATTGACAAAGCTTCAACCATGGGTCACAAATGGATGGAAGCACTATTAGTGGTGTATATATATATATATATATATATATATATATATATATATATATATATAATTAAGTTCAAATGGTTGTGCGGTTAAATCTGAGGCATTGATCTTGCTTAAAACGTGGTGGCAATTTGGAAATTTTTGCATCTAGGTCAAATTTAAGGTGCGTGTGTTGTATGCTTAATGTGAGTAGTTGTTGAAACTTAAGGTGTGTTGGTTTCCTTCTTAAGGTGCGTGGGTTTTGTGTTTAATATGAGTAGTTGTTGAAACTTAAGGTGCTAGGTTTTCCTTCTTAAGGTGCGTGATTTGTATGCTTAAGGTGATTTTAAAACCTTAGGTGCATGGTTTGTGTTCTTAAGGTGCTTTGTTGTATGCTTAAGGTGCATGGTTTGTGTTCTTAAGGTGCTTTGTTTGTGTGCTTAAGGTGCGTGGTTTGTGTTCGTAAGGTGCTTTGTTTGTGTGCTTAAGGTGCGTGGTTTGTGTACTTAAGGTGCGCCATGTTAATGCTTAAGGTGCTTCAACCGCACGGGAAGCCTTCCCCGCACCTGAACCCTTCCCTATATATATATATATATATATATATAAAATAAAAAGATGAGTTATACACACCTCGGCAGCCATTCGTGCCCATTTGTTTCCCATTTTAGCATGGAGCTCAATAATACGGTGTTCTTCTTCTGGAGTGAATGCACCTTTCTTTAAATCCGGTTTTAAGTGATTTGCCCACCTTAAACGACAGCTTTTACCACAACGAGCTAGCCCCGTATGTTTCTGCACAGCATTCCAGTTTCCCTCTCCGTGTCTTGTTACATATTCCATTAAAATTGCATCTTCTGCAGAAGTCCAGGGACCTTTCTTTAGTGGTACACCTCCAGCATTAGCTCCACCAGTAGCTTCTTCAACGGATGGCGAATTTACATTCCCTTTCAAAGTCATACTGTCCTCACTTTCACTCGTAATACTCATATCCTGAAATGTAACATTATAAAGAACGGTCCGCAAAAAAGAAAAATATGTCAGGGGAAGGAAGACAACATCATAGAAAAAGACTGATCTCGTTTCAGATGATCAGCTGGCTTCCAATCAAGATACAGGAAGAAAAGCCAATAACAAGAAACTAGGAATTTTCTGAAGAAACATTCAGATTGATGTTCAGAATACAACAGAAAAGATCTAATGATAGTGAAAAAAAAAAGTTACACGATCAACAATGTCATAATCCTAGAACCAGACGTGGTCCAAGGCCAAACTATTTAGCAATAAATGCACACAGAGTTGAATAAAAGCAATAAACATGGAAATGGCATTACCAGTGTAAGAAATATATTGTGACTAACACCAAACGGGAAACAAGAAAATATAGTTATGTATATTTAATTCAAAGAATACATGTTTCTCTGAGAATTACCGAGTAGTATTTAGGGACAACAGCAACAAAAAGATTGACCAAAAGAAGAGTCGTCTGCAAATATTAGTCTATATTAGTCATCACCCATTGAGCTTAATCACCATACAAAAGCACTTTGATTTGACGGATACAAAAAATGTGCATGAAAAATAAACCTGATATGCCACCTGTCTGCATTACAGATACTCCGTAGTTTATTTGCTCTAGGAAACGTATACTCCACTATTACAGTCATTATAAAAGGAAGAAACTACACTTTTCCACCTTTTCAGCCGAATAAAAGGAAACGTTTAACTGAAAATTTACCAACCAGGATGCTTGAAATTTCCTAGTTTATACCCTCATCAAGCCATGCTGCAACCTCTATTGGTAAATTTAAAAGCATATAATAGACACAAAACACCCCTCCATAGTTTATTTGCTCTAGGAAACGTATACTCTACGGTTACATGCATTATACAAGAACAAAACTACACTTCTCCACCTTGTCAGCCGATAAAAGGAAACGTTTAACTGAAAAATTACCAACCAGGATGCTTGAAATTACCTAGTTTATACCCTCATGGAGCAATGCTTCAACCTCTATTGGGTAAATTTAAAAGCATATAAGAGACACAAAACACCCCTCCGAAGTTGATTTGCCCTAAGAAATGCATACTCCACACTTACATTCATTATAAAAGGACAAAACTACACTTCTCCACCTTTTCAGTCAAAAAAAAAAAAAAAAAAAAAAAAAAAAAAAAGGAAACGTTTAACTGAAAATTTACCAACAAGGATGCTTGAAATTACCCAATTTATACCCTCATGGAACCATGCTTCAACCTCTATTGGTAAATTTAAAAGCATACAATAAACACAAAATACCCCTCCGTAGTTCATTTGCTCTAGGTAACGCATTTGAAAAGCTTTTCCTACACTTCTCCTCAGTTTCAGCCAAAAAAAAAAAAAAAAAAAAAAAAAAGGAAACATTTAACTGAAAAAATACCAACCATGATGCTTGAAATTAACTAAATTATACTCTCATGGAGCCATGCTTCAACCTGTATTGGAATATTTAAAAGCATATAATAAACACAAAACACCCCTCCGTAGTTTATTTGCTCTAGGCAACGCATCTGAAAAGCTACATTGTCATGTTCATTAAAAACGGACAAAACTATAGTTCTCCTTTTTGGCTGAATAAAAGGAAACGTTTAACTGAAAAACTACCAACTAGGATGCTTGAAATTAACCAGTTTATACCCTCATGGAGCCATGCTTCAATCTCTATTGGTAAATTTAAAAGCATATAGTTTACAAAAAAAAACACCCCTTCATAGTTTATTAGCTCTAAGTAAAGCATCTCAATAGTTTGTCCTACACTTCTCCTTTTCGGACAAATAAAAGTAAACATTTAACTGATAAAAATGCCAACTAGGATGCTTGAAAATAACCAGTTTATACCCTCATGGAGCCATGCTTTAACCTCTATTGGTAAATTTAAAAGCATATATAGACATAAAACACCCATCCATAGTTTGGAAAAGCTCCATTGTTATGTTCATTAAAACAGGACAAAACTACAGTTCTCCTTTTCGGCTGAATAAAAGGAAACGTATAACTGAAAAGAATACCAACCAGGATGCTTGAAATTAACCAGTTTATACCATCATGTAGCCATGCTTCAACCTCTATTGGTAAGAAATTCCAGTTTAAAAGCATATAATAGACACAAAACACCCATAAATCTGAGTAAAATTTATCATGAGGACAGCATTCTAATGTAGTAAGCAATTTCAATCAAACCAAATACTAAAATTTAAAAAAAAAAAAAAAAAAAAAAATCAATTGCATATCATAAATTACTCAATTTATGGCATGTAAATAAGTACTCCATAAAAACAAAAAAGTCAAATACATGCCAAAGATTTCATAATTCTAAGGCATTTGCCAAATTGAGTAAAATAAAGCAGACCCAGAATAGTAAAATGATCAACTATTTTAGGGTGATAATATATCAGAAAAATTAGCACAAGATGTGCAATTAATGAACCATAAAATTCCAATCTTTAAAGAAACATAGTTCATTTATGGAATATAACAATTATTTATTATAGCAATCAGATTATGGTTTTTACCGAAGTGAAGAAAGCTGGTGAAGCTGCTCGCAGAAAATGACCACCGAGATCTAAGCCCTCAAATTGCACACCACAAATCCCAAATCAAATTAATTTTTCAAAAGTTTAAAGTTTAAACCCCATAAACAATCATCAAAAATGACGATAATGACGGCCGGGAGGAGATAAACAACTCAAACCCTAAATTCAATTTATGGATTTATATGCAACAAAAGAGCTGCAATCTTGTAAATCCATTGACAATTCACAAAACATCAGCTGAAATCATGGAGAAAACGGAGAAGATGAGTGAAATGTGAAGATTAAAACAAAAATTCTTTAAAAACAATCTAATTTCAGAGAAGAAACTGGAAAACAACAAATTAAAAATAAAAAAAGAAAATGAGAAAAATCTCGCAGTGACTGAAGAAAGGAAAAGTGTTGTTGAGAGATAGAAGTAAAGGTGTCAGCTGAGTGTTTATATATATATATATATATATATTATAAAATAAATTCCTGAAAAAATAAGAAAAAAATACAAAAAAAGAGGACGAAGGTGGGGTGGGTAGGGTGGGGGGGGGGGGGAGAGGGTTACATGGCAGGAGAGAAAAGAGAAAATGGAAAGGAGAGAGATGATACTCATTGATGTTTTGTAGTGTTTTAAACCTTAAAACTTACTAATTAGGCTTTGTTTGGTTCGTCAAAAAGAGATAGGAAGGTTTGAATTTAAATTCCATAAAAAAAAATATTATTTTAAATATTAATTTTATTATTTGGTCAGTAAATATAACTAGTATTAAGATTCAAATATTTTAATGTAATAAAGATATGTGAGAATAATACAAACTTTATATGTTATAACTTTTTTTTTAAATACGAGAAGATAATGATAAATTAATTCTACAAATTTGATGAATTTATTATCTATTTAATAAATTCTCCCTCAACAAAATTAGATAAAATATTTTCTTCTCAAATTTGATAAAAATATTTTCTTATAAAAACAGTTTAATGTGAACCAAACATGACATTAGTGTGGAAATAAATATTCCAAGAGGTGTTATAGTGAATATTATTTCTACAACATTATAATATAATATTTTTATATGACATGGATTGATAATACATATGATTTTTATAATATGGTTGAATAAAAATATGAATTTTAATATTGTTGTATTGTATTACGCATAGGAATTTTAACCTAGAATTGTAGAATTGTAGTACGAATAGGAAAGTATGAAACAATATATTCTATTAGAAATTATATCAATATATTATATTATGAATTATATTACACTATTTTAGAATATTACGTAAATCTTAATAGTATAGGACTGTTTTCGGTGAAAATTTTAAATGGACGATTTTGTTTTTATATAGGACTGTTTTGGGTGAGAAATTAAAATGAAGGCTTTTGTTTTTATATAGGACTGTTTTGGGCGATAAATTAAAATAGAGGATTTTGTATATATATATATATATATATATATATATATATATATATATATATATATTAAATCGGCTGGAATCATAAAATTAACAAAAAAACAATATAAAGATACAAAAATTCCGTTACTAAAAATATAAATGTTATGTCTCAACCCAGCTAAGGCTAGGTTACTAAAAATATAAAGGTTATGCCTCAACCCAGCTAAGACGGGGTTTTGTGTGCTTTTTCACTTATTGGCTTTTGCGTGTGTTTCTTTTTGCTGCTTGCTTGCTTTTTTGTTTTTTTAATGTTTTGCTTATTTGGATCTCTTTTGGAGCCGCCTCAAGAGATGGGATCCGGTATGACAAGCTTGATGCTTTAGTCCAAAATAATTGTATGGGGTCCTTGCAGTTCGTGGTGACTGAGTTTATTATGTTCTCCGAGGTTCCACCCTTCCCTTATCTCTCATAAACAGAAAAAGGCATGAGAATGATTACAAAATTCAAAAAATAATAATTTGAGATGTTAAATGATAAAAACGATAGTCTGTGACTACATTTGAAATTGCCATAAAAAACAATAAACATCCGGTAGAATTAACTCCATAATGATATGTATTGTATTAATGACCATACTAGTTCAAAAATGTATATCATAAGAATATGTATTCCCTTGCGTATCATAAAAAATGCGTATTCCATTAGGTAGATACTAGCTCAAAGATGCGTAATTCAAACTTATACAAACTTTATTGTCACTCATTCTCAGGCTCTCAGCACACATATTTATCTCATGATAAACATGCCCAATACACACCTAATCTTAATTTGAAATTATAACATTGATTAAAAAGGAGATGTAAATCATTACACTTTATTGCTTGGGTTTCCCCCAACTACTCTAATAAATTATTGGCCTACAAATTTATTTGATATATTTATATAAACTTATTATAACTTAATATCTACCACCTACATGTAATTATCACTATTTAATTTGTTATTTTGTGTAATAATTATTTACGACTAATTGAATTGACTTATAGTTGATAATAAAATTAATATTTATTTCCAAATATGTCATACAATGTTGTATACTTATATGTAATATTATCTCCAATGTGTCATGTTAAATAATTTTGAACCATACTTTCTCCAAATAAAAGTTAGACTTTGCTGATATAAAGTGAGCTAAGTTAAAATTAATCTTGCAATGGTCGAGATATCATATTTCGTATTGAAAAAAAAAAGAAGTTTAAAATAGAAAAGTTTACATACTAAATACAAATAGAAACGAATTTAATTCATACATGCATTAAGGTCAGTGAATCAACGTATCATATATATATATATATATATATATATATATATATGCATCGTGTTAAACAACTTTATATCAATTATTCTATCAAGTAAGATTAAACTTTACCAGGGTTAGACTAGCTATTACCAAAACCTCACAATGTAAGTGGTGTAAATGAGCCGAACAGCTCCAACTCAAGCTTGAGCCGGCTCGTTTCGAAATCTAATCGAACTCGAGCTCAAATGTTTTAGACACGTGACTCGTTGAGCTACTCGCGAGCCATATATATATATATATATATATATATATATATATATATATATATATATATATATATATATATATATATAATTATAACCCAATCACTTGATCAACTTCAAACTCGAGCTTCAGTTTTCGAACTAAATCCAGCTCGAGCTCGAACCTACCTATTGTTTCTCAAACTTAAGCCTACTTATTGTTTATCGAGCTCGGCTGGACAATGTTACACAATGTTATTCATACCGGATGTAAAAAAAAAAAAGGGATCGGAAAAAAAAAAAAAACTAATTTCCTTTTGTTCATGAAAGCCCAAGAAGAGAAAGAAATAATAATGATGATAAATTCAAAAGACATATCATATGCTTGTGAAGATATTTGTTATCCAAAGTCTGGGCTCATCATTAAATGTCTGCCACGTCTTCCACCACATTTTTGGTTTCTCTTCTTCATACCACTGACCAAAAAACATCAAGAAATCTCATCAGCCCAGAAACATGGAACTCACCACCACTACCCAGTCTCTTTCCCATTCCAAAATCCCCAAACTTTTCTCCAATGGAGGAGCCACTGTTTTTGCCCAGAACTCTGTCAATTTCTTGGGCTACAATTGCCTGCCAAGAAACCTGCAATGCACTGCCAAACATCTCAGCAGTCTTGGAGCCATTCATGCTTCTGAGGGACAGATTACCTCCACTGCTGTTTCCATTAAATGGCTTCTTGAACCTGTTGGTCAGTCATCTTTTTTTTTTTTTTTTTTTGAAGTTATTATCAGTTTTCTGGGTTGGTTTGGGCATTTTGATTTATTGTTATTGGTTCGATCAAAATGGGTTCTTGTTGATGGGCATTTTAATAATGTTTTTGATTCAATCAAATGGCTTCTTGAAGATGTTTGTCACTTGTCCTTTATCATATTGTTTGTTTGGTTGAGCTGTTTAGGCCCTTTTTGGTAAATGGCAGCTGTTTAGCTGATTGTGTTAGAGGGTTTAACTAGTCGATAATATTAGTTGATTGTAGAAAAGACATTTGGTAAATTAGTTGTTAGCTGATAGCTGTTTGTTATAATTTTTGATCTCAAAAAGTTAATTGAAAAAGTTGCTTTTTACAGGTTTTTTGAATCTTAGCATTTTGGAGTTACAAAAAAAGTGATTAACCAAACACTATATTGATTTTTTAATCAAGTCAAACAAGTTAAAATTAGCTGATAAATTAACTATTTTATCAAACAGGGCCTTAGTGTCACTACTTCATAGGGATGGGGTCGGAGATCCATCCAATAAATTGGTCACACAATTGGCTTAGTAATCACAAATTTCAAGTTTGATTTCTAATGGGAGTTGTATGTTTATTGACATTATTAGCTTGAGCCAGTCCGCTATGGGCAACCTAGGCTGATTTACCCCTATTGTGGTACATTGTAGATTTGTAATACTTTGTCAGTTAGGATCACAAGACAGGTTTCGACCAGAGCACACATTCGGGTAGCGCCCCGTAAATCAAAGGGGTGGGGTAGGGGGAGTTAATTAAACACCCAATTAATCTTAAATACCCTCACCCTCAAACTAGTGAATAACAAACAGTGTTCTTGAATGCTGCATTGATGTTGGGCAGGTGATGGAGATACAAAGCACATAGGTTATCCCACTGCAATGCCAGGTGCATTTGAGATCAGCTCTGTAAGTATTATTCTGATATGATTTTCTGCAATGGTTTGTGCATATTAACTGCAGAATCATATATATATGGTCATCCTATAGGGTGCAATAACAGTCGGGCGCGTTTCTGAGAAGGCAGATATGGTGATTCCAGTTCCCACAGGTAACTATATATCCAGTGCCCAACTTGATTAGAAATGAAATTGAGATATTAGGATTCTAATGACAAAACTGTTGAGACTTTGTCTGTTGGTAGTTTGTATTGGCCTAGTCTTGTGACTTTGCTGTAACTGGTTTCCTCTTAATATGCTCTGTACTCAAACGAGATCTGGTCTTGTTTTGTGCATGGACAAACAAGTATCTGGTGCGCATGCCCGGCTCAGGCACACCGAGGACTGTCTTGTGGTAACGGATTTAGACAGCACGAATGGCACTTTCATTGATGAGAAGCGCCTCAGGCCCGGTGTTGCTGCTGCTGCATTGCCTGGAACTCGTATCACGTTTGGTATGGTTTACTGAACCTTCCTCGTTTGAGTCGTTTCCCTTCTGATTAACTGTTCCCGAAATGATTCGAATGATCTCGTGGGAAAAAAACACGAAAATTACTTGTGAAAACTAGCATATATTCCATTTGATCTGTTCCATTGCTTCTTAATTAGCAAGTTTTTGTTTTTCTGGTTGCCAGGGGATACCCATCTAGCAATATTTCGAGTCTCGAAGCTCGAGAAGGTTGATGATGCTCCTGAAGAACAAGAAGATGATGGTGCAAAGGGGGGTCCAAGCAGCAGCTAGAATGAAGAAGCCTGGAATCCATAACTGCTGCTGTGTGTATTACGTTGCAGACCACAATGAATAATTGCAGATGTAGTGATGTACAATTTTTTGTGTTCCTCATCATCTTCCATGTGCCTTGTGCTCTTCAACTATGCACATTATATATTAGCAGTGCTGAGAGGTTTTTTTTTTTTTTTTTTTTTTTTCATTAACAAGAAATCAGTGTGTGTGTCCATTTCTTTTTTAAAAAGACAGTATAAAAGTACATTATTTGTATGCATAAAGTGTTATGTAAAAATTGTAACTGATCTCCTAAAAAAGTTGAATTTATAATCCTAATTGAGAATGATGGATATATTATGAGCGGAGCAAACCAACCCGGGAAGCGGAGCAAGCCCACGGGGCCTTGGCCAGTTTAGGTCGGGGTCGGGCCAAATGGGCTTGGCCGAATAGTGGTCGGCCGATCAAACGGAAGACCCGGGACTTGGGCCTCGGACGCGGTCAACTCGGATCTAATCGACCCCGTCATTTTAGGGGCGGTTAAGGGGCGTAGCTTATATAAATACCCCTCGTGTTGTCCCAACAAAACACGTTCACTATTTTCTACCTACTATTGTTCTAATCAAGCATTGTAATAGCTTATTAGCAATATTTAATACAACATTTGGTCCTCGCTGTTAGTCAGATTATATTTTTGTCACTTATTATATGTTGGTTTAATAATCTTTAGACTAGACTTAGTCTTATGTGGCTCTCCTATTAGATAGGATTATTTGCGTAGACTTTATTTGACCTTACAACGACATCGTTTGTCTATTTACCTATCTATTTCTTATACACATTCTCTATCGGATTTAGTGATTCGGGTCCACTCCGAATGATTATATCCATTCGAGATGATATAAATTACAGTGACCCAATGGCTTAACAGATAATGCCAAATACCGATGCACATAAGGGGTCTACCTAATTTGAGCATAATCTTTACACTGCCGTCACCGAAGTTCGAATCTTAGTCTCTTCTTTCAAATAATACCTACTAAACTATTAAACTAAATCCGTGCAAACAAAATTGTCAATTAACTCGATATAATCTAGATTGGTCCGGGAAATGGCCACCTTAATGTATAAATATACACCACCACATGCCATGTCAAAGAAAAAAAATAAAAATTTAAAAAGATTTAAAAATCAATTAACGATCAAGATAAGCCGATGATTCATTGTTACATCAGAACCGTTGGTCGCCTATCTACCTCGCCAACACGCTAAACTTACGCCTACAGAGATCTCCAGTCTTTCTCTCTCTACAGAAATACATCCAAATTTGTGTCTCTCTGTCTAAAACTCAAATCCCTAATTCCAAAACCAATTCACCGTTCTTCGTTTTAAAGGTATTTTTCATCGTTTTTTTATTCCTTCTGCAATTTCCTGTTTCGATCTCAACACACGCATACAACTCTGCTTTCGCTGTCTTTCCCCGAAATGTTTTCATGATTTCATCATTCTAGGGTTTGACTTTTAGGTCCTTTAATTTTTGCCTTTTTACTGCGTCATTACTTTGGGATTTCTGTTTCATTTCTGATTATTCCTTCAAGTTTTTAACTCCCAAACAAATTATTTTCACCCCAGTTGATTTTTTTAGGAATTGAATTTCTTGATTAATTTTTTTTTTTAAATAGTCAATTCTGAGAAATTTGTTAGTTTGTTACTGTTTTAAGGATTCATATTTTTTCAAGTTCAGGGAACAAATTTTTATGGCATTTGAATGCCAAAAATCTACTGAGACTGGTTTGTTGAGAAGTGTGGTCAATTGTTTAGAGGACTCTGTTATAGGGAAAGGTGAATCTAATTTAACAGGATCTTTGAGCAATCAGGGTTGCATTATTGACTCTGATATAAGAAACCCCAAAACAAAATTGAATGGTGAACATTGTGTTTTGATTCCAAATGGCAATGAGAAACACCCTGCAGAAGAAATTTTACCTAATTGTAGGTCAATAAATGATCTTCCTCCAGCTTTGATATCTGAGATCCTTAACTGCTTAGACCCGAAGGAGCTCGGTATTGTTTCTTGTGTGAACTCGTCTTTGTATCAGCTTGCATCTGAGCACCAAGTGTGGAAGGATTTTTACTGTGAGAGGTGGGGGAATCCTGCTATTCCGGCACCATTGGGGCCGGGGAATTCGGATGTGAAGACTTGGAAAGATCTTTTTGTGGAGAGGGAGTTCCGTAGCAAGACGTTCCTGGGGCGATACAGTGTTGACACCTTGTATGGTCATACGGAGGCAGTTAGGACGGTGTTTGTTTTAGCTTCAAAGAAGCTTGTGTTTACTTCGGGGTATGATCAGATAGTGCGAATGTGGGACATGGAAGAAGGGTTGTCTATTGCTTCTTCCCGTCCTCTTGGATGCACTGTCCGTGCTGTTGCTGCTGATTCAAAATTCTTGTTAGCTGGCGGTACTGATGGGTTCATACATGGTTGGAGGGCGGAGGATGGAAATCCTCATTTGTTTGACCTTAGAGCTCCTCAGAACCCGAGCAAAGAATTCCGACTTTGGGAACATCAAGGCCCCATAACTTGCCTTGCAGTGGGCTTTAATAAGATTTATAGTGGATCATGGGACATGACTGTACGTGTTTGGGATTGTTCTTCGCTGAAATGTTTGAATGTTTTGATGCACAATGACTGGGTATGGAGCCTAGTTCCTCACGATACTACAGTGGCGAGTACCTCAGGATCAGACGTCTATCTTTGGGACACCAATAGCGGGATGAAACTTGCTGTCGTTAACAATGCTCATGTCGGTAATGCTTACTCTTTGGCAAGAAGCCACACCGGGAAGCTTCTATTCACCGGAGGAGAAGACGGAGCCATACACATGTTTGAGGTTGTAAAAAACGCAAGGTTTCATGTAAAGAAGGTTGCAACATGGATTCCTCACTCGGGCCCTGTTTATTCTCTTGCATTTGAATTCCCCTGGCTTGTTTCCGCTTCAAGCGATGGAAAACTGGCACTTATCGATGTGAGGAAGTTATTGAAGACAAGTAGGTATTCAGCAACAGGAAGCCGTCCTTGTAAGGTTGACAATCTGGACCATACAAGTGTTGAGCCTCCGCAACGAATGCTTCATGGATTTGGGTCCAATTTATTTGCAGTGGATGTTGGTCTGGATCGTATTGTGTGTGGAGGTGAAGAAGGCGCTGTTAGGATCTGGAACTTCTCACAAGCGTTGGAGATAGAGCAGAGGGTCCGTGCTTTACGAGGTTTAAGGTTAGAAAACAGGATGAGGAGGCGTAAGCTTCAGTCCAACATGAATAGCAAAGGCACCCGGAGTGATCAGTGCTCGGTTGCAGCAAAGAAGAACCAAATCAATGGCGATAGGAATAGCTGGCAGAACAAGCGTAGGGTAAGCGGGAAGCTCAAGGCTTAGGATCGGGCGATTCCTGACTATTTCTAAGCAGTAAATTTCATTTGCTCATAGCTAATCATGTAGGTACTACATTCATCACATTGTTAAGATTCTGTCATTGTTTCCCTTTCCCACATTCTGGTTATATGCATGAATGCCTTTTCCCTTATATTCTTCATTTGTCTGTTAATACTGGATTAATATGATTCTAACTGTAATATTTCTGTAAATCTTGCTCTTTGGTCATCAGCTTATAGAATGCAGAGAATGATAGATAAACATAGATCACACAACATTTTATTCAGAACCAGAAGAGACTAAATCATTAAAAGTTGTATCAAATGGCTGATTGTATGCAATGATGAGCTAGAGAATGGAAAGAACTTAAAATTCAGCCATTACAGTTTGGTCAAAATAGTGGCCAGAAGGTCCTCCCTGAGGCAGGAGAGCCAGCATAACAGGACCCTGAGCTCCTTCCTCTGTAGTCAAAGGTCCTGTATGCCAGTTCAGGTCTGTGTTCACGTACCCGGGGTGCACACAGTTGATGCACATACTCAGGTGCTTCTTCGCGAGAAGCCTAGTATAGGCATTCAGCGTCGCCTTTGATATGCTATACGCAGGTAGCATCAGTTGCCAGCCGTTGGCTTCAAGCGCGTTCTCTTTCAGGTCACGCAAAAATTTCTGCAGAGTTTCGTCAATTCTCTCTTCTGTCAGATTCTCAATGTCCCCGAGCAGCTCCCTCGTCTGCTCATTGGGGATTCGCTGCATAGCGCGATAGAAAATAAATTAGTAAAATCGCGTAAAACGTTATGGAAAGCGTCGTATGTATTCTGCTTACCCTTAATTCACTCCTGAGAGAAGAGACATTTACTATCCTGGCCCCTGAAGTGGACAGTTGCAGCAAGGGAATAAGTGCTTCAGTTAGGTTCTTTACACCATAGTAGTTAGTATCCAGGCATTCTTTTGCCTTCTCATAGGTTGTCTTAATTGAACTCTGAATCAAATTGGTAACTTTCCCCGCAAGCTGTGTCGGAAAATACAGAAGAGAGTTAATTCTACTTTTAGTCCTGGAGTATTGTGGCCAACTATTCGAGTGATGAACTTCTATTTGCACATCAAAGAAGATGGAGTCTTATGGTGAATTCACAGGGCGAGGATGACTAAAAATGGAAAACATTGACACAGTAGTCGATGGCTAGAAATGAAATTAACTCGAAGAAGTCCATCAGGCTTTACGGGACCCACAAATAACATAGTATGAAATGTGAATCTGCAATGTTTTCTTACCCAGTCTGCAGGGTCTAAATTCAAGGCCCTTAAGGCATCTTCATCAACAACTACTCCAGAAGCTCCAGCATTGTTTACCTGCAGAAATTTAACCATTGCAGGCCAATCAAATCCAACAAAAAACAACCCAATTCATGTTATAATTTGTTTTTACCAAGATATCAAGCCTTCCATATTGTGTTTTGAGATGCTCAGCCAAGCATTCTATGCTGTGCTTGTCTACAACATCGAGCCGATGAAAAACAACATTCGACAGCCCCTCGTTATGCAGCAACGACACAGCTTCCGTTCCCCTCTTCTCGTTCCTAGCTGTTAACACAACCGTAACGCCTGAGGCTGCCAGCTGCCGGACAGTCTCCAGGCCAATTCCCTTGTTTGCTCCTGTAACTACTGCACACCTGTAAACTCTCCAACAACTTACAAATCCTTTCCCTAACCGAGGACTAGTTTTGTGTATCGAAAGACAAGTTTACCTCTCAGACGCCTGTTTCCCGTTAACCTCCATTGATACAATTCTCTGATGATGAACAAGCTTCTGGTTAAGTGTGTATGATCTGTACATACAAATATAGGCATAAATTCAGCATCCTAGGACAAACAGAAAGTATCCAGGTGAAACTTCACTATCTAATGGCTTAAATTACAAAGCTGTTTTACATTGATAAACAAGAAGCCTCAACCTTGAACTTCACATTCAACTACCTCAATCTATAATATAAGACTTAACGAAAGAAATATGGAGTAATTGATACGAACGAGTTGACATCCAAATGACACAATCTCAAAAATCTTATGATCAAGTTGACACCCAACTTAAGAAATCTTATGATCCAGTTGAGTAGTTGACATTTGATGAAATCTTATGATCCAGTTGAGTAGTTGACATTTGATATCAGAAATCTCAAATTCGAGTCACATCTCATGTTCTATCACGGAATGCAAAACGCTAAAGAAAAAACACATTTGAATTCATTCAAGCATTTGCTTAGTAGGCATCAAACTACACAAATCTTATGTTCGAGCTGAGTATTTAACACTGTACTTAAAAAAATCTTATGATTGAGAAGAAATAAATGGTTTGATCAAGTATAACAGATAAACTGAGATAAAATATATAGAACTATGGAAGTATGAACACCTGAAAACAGAATATAACAGATAAAATGGGACAAAATATACAAGACTATGGAAATAGGAGCACCTGAAAACAGAGATACAAGCTCGATTTGATGGCGGCGGAGCAGTAGATAGGTGGAAGCGGTTTTTGGCGGCGAATTTGATTTGTGAAGGCGAATAGATCGACGGAAGAGTGATTGATGGCATCTTGTCTTCTCCCAGCGCTGTCTCTTTCAACTACAGTAGTGGGTCCGTGTAGCCTCCGTCGCCTAAATATCTCTCCTTTTTTTTTTTTTTTTTTTTTTAATTACTAATCTCAAACATCTATAATCTCTACTTAAGACTCTAAAAAGCATCTTCAATCCACTCAACACCAAAACACCAAATATTTTACACTAAAATAATTTAATTTTTTAATTATTAATTAATTCAAATTTAATTAGTTTAATATAATTTAATTCGAACTTAATTAGTTTAATATAAAATATAACTTGTGATGTAAATAATAATTTGCTTGATCTCGCGAGATGTGCATGTGAAAACTTGCATGATCCCCCGGACTTCCGGTGGTGACTCCACAAATAATATGAGGCCCCTATTGTGTATCAACGCCAACGAGGCCAACTTATCTGTTGCACGATTCTGCTCCTTGTACACATGCTTAATGGTGGGATGGTGTTCAATTTGCCGTTTTGCAGTCTCCTGGGAGATGCTCTAAGAGCAGTTGGACGAGATAAATTAAGAATCTGTCTGCATGAGCATCTCAGTTGCATGACTCCTCCCATATGTTTCACCGAGTCTGATTGAATATTCAATCTTTTGGGAAAATAGTATGTACAATTAATCTTCATTACTTCTTGTCCATAAATGTCTCTCAATATCTTTAATGGTCAGAAATGGTATCTTCACCCCAAAAGAAGCCAAAGCTATTGCTCTCAGGGAGGCACTCACATGGACGAAAAGGCATGGTGTAAGCAGAATCCAAGTGGGATCAGATGCACTTCAGATTATTCAAAGTTTAAAGCATTGTGTTGATGATTCATCCTTTGGTCATGTAGTATTGGATATTAAAGATGTGCTACGTTCACTATCTCACGTAGATATCTTCCATGTTAGCTGTAATGCGAATAGAGTTGCTCATAGCCTTGCTAGGGAAGTCTGTTCTATGTTTGTATGCCAAGAGTGGAATTCTACCCCTACTTTATTTATTATCAACGATCTATATTTTGATTCGAATTGATGAAGTTTGTTTTTCTAAAAAAAAATGCAAAAATTGCAATTCTCATTTGTCAGTCTTGCAACACGTAGGATTTTAAAAAAGAAAAAAAGAAAAAGACATGTTGAATTTGCAAGTGGTGTAAATACATGTATGAAGATAGCCTAATATAATTTCACTTTTATATAATAATTTTATAATAATTTACAAATTACGTAAAGATAAACAAATCACATTAGGAATATTATATGACTCTATAAATGTGTGACGGATTGAGTACGAATTGGGAGTGCTTTAGACAATTTTTAATTTTTATCTAAGCCACCTTATCATGTGGACGAGTACTCGAGTGATATGAGTGATTTTTCAAAATGGTAACGGTAGATCATGATTCATGAGTTCAAGTTCAAATGGGAGATGTATTGACTCTTTGTACTTTAATAGGTTGAAAGCATATTTGATCAGATATTACAATATAACAGAGTCAATAGTACTAAAAAAAAATTAAATAATTAAAAAGAAAGAGACAATTTATTTCAAAATTATATTTAGTTTCCTTTTTAAAAGAAAAAAACGTAAGAAATATTAAAAGGCGTTTGGATATCCATGGAAAGAGCAAGTGAGACGCAACAAAGATGCATTGAAATGGGACCCACACACATAAAGTACAAGTTTTTTGGTTTCCCTCTCGACTCACATGCGCCGTCCGTTCGCGATCCGACGGCCAGGAATCTGCGTCCACTTGGGGTTATTGGGCATCTACGCGACACCCACTCACTTCTCTCTCCCTTTCTCTCTCTTCCCGCTTTCCTTCTCCTTCTCCGCCACACTGCAAAACTTCTCCGGTGCCCTAACACCGCAACCGCCGGGACGACGTCGTCTCGCTGGTTGAAAGCCGAAAGCTTCGAGCTCCAGTCTCCAATACACAATTCTGCTCTCCTCCAATCCATGGCCGATTCCAGGTCTCTCTCTATCTCTCTCTCTCGAATACGTAAACGTACATATACGTATTACTTTTTTGGTGTATATACGTGTACATATATGCGCATGTTTGCGTGTGGCATAGAGCTAAGTGCTTCCGAATTTCCGTTATTGAATTTTGGAAGTAGAAGAGCTTTTGAACTGGGAAACTAGGCTCTGGTATTCCTGAACTTGTTATTTTGTGAATTACGATATTAAAATTCGGTAATCATGATGTTTTTATTTAGATTAACTTTTTGAATTAGAAGAATTAGTGAACCTATGCTGTTTATGTATCTCAGTAAGACACTTGAAAGTGATACATAGCGTAAAATTGGCCAGTTGTGGAGAGAGCATCAATCAATAATGTAGTAGAACTTTGTTCATACTGTTTATTTCATTGCTCTTTGGTCTATATGGAGCATGCATAAAAAAGTCAAATGATTGAGGAAAACAGCAGGTTATATCATATGATGGGCCAAAACTCGGATTGCTGGGCGAGCCCTTCACTCCTAATTGTTTAATGGAAGTGAGGCACATGATGGTTCATGAGTATAACTTTTATTTGAGCTTGCTGCACTAGGGCCGCATGTTGCTATGTGAGCATGGCTTTCCGTATTATTATCGGAGGAATGCACACATACTAGAAATTAAAGGAATGTACTTGATAAAGACTTAAAGAGTGTACCCTTTGTTCAGTTTGTTTGACCAATTTATTTTTTGGCGTGGCTTGAAAAAACTGACCCTTTCCATATATACTTAAAATCTTTAATTTTCTATATTTAGTGTAAATTTAAAAAAAGGCATGACGATTCATTACATATTAATTTATCTCATTAATTTCGAGTTTCAACCAACCAGAAATGCAGAAATGTAAAATTCTCCATCTTTATGCATAATCTGACTAGGTTGCATAAGATGTGATATAGAAGAATGTTAAAGAAACTATTAACTGAAAACTTGATAGTTATGCAGGGTTTGCTTTGGGTATGGATGATCTCCTCTAGGAGGTGCAGCAGAGTCCTACACTCCTACATAGTGTCTATTTCTATGTAATGTTTTCCTAAGGTGGTTATCTTATCCCAATATGGACGTTGAAGTGATTGATGTGGAAGAAGGAAACATGGGCCAGCATGGTGGTGTAACAGATGACGGAGATGATGAACTCAGTGAGAGCTCCACTCAGGATGTGAATAGGGCAGTCGAACCACATCTGGGAATGGAATTCCATTCTGAAGATGCAGCTAAGACTTTCTATGATGAGTACGGTAAGCGAATGGGCTTTAGAACTCGTGTTAGCCATTTTGGTCGATTAAAGGCAGATGTGAGTTCTACTTTCCGGGATTTCTTATGTGCCAGGGATGGTTTGAAAAAAAGAACCGGGGAAACCTGTGGTGCTATGCTTAGAATAGAGCTAAAGGGTAAAAACAAATGGGTTGTGACAAAATTTCTGAGGGATCACAGCCATTCCATTGAGAGTCCCAATAATGTGCATTACCTGAGAGCACACAGGCATACGGCTATGACAACAAAGGTTGCCACTGAAAACAGCCTGGCAGCAGGTCTCGTTCCTAGTGGTGTAATGTATGTTTCAGTGGATGGGAGTCATGCTCCCATAGAGATGAATCATGGAGTGAAGAATTGTCGCACTGCAGATTCAGATAGATTAACTAAAAACAGTACAACTCTAATGTATGCTCCCAAACAGTACAATCAGAGAAGAACACTGGGGAGAGATGCTCATGGCCTTCTTGATTATTTCAAGAAAATGCAGGCTGAGAATCCTGGATTTTACTATGCAATACAACTTGATGAGGATAATCGCATGGCTAATGTATTTTGGGCTGATTCAAGGTCCAGAAATGCATATAGTCATTTTGGTGATGCTGTCACATTGGATACAACATACCGAGTGAAGCATTGTAAAGTGCCATTTGCTCCATTCACAGGAGTGAACCATCATGGTCAATTGATTTTGTTTGGCTGTGCTTTACTTCTAGATGAATCTGAGGCCACATTTGTTTGGCTATTTAAGACATTTCTTGCTGCCATGAACAACCATGCCCCCATCTCATTAACTACCGACCAGGACAGAGCCATACAATCTGCAGTAGCTCAAGTATTTCCTGAAACATGCCATTGTATAAACAAATGGGATGTATTAAGACAAGGACAAGAGAGAATGGCTCCTGTATGCATTATGCACCCTAATTTCCAGGTCGAACTATATAATTGTATAAATATGACTGAGACTGTTGAGGAATTTGAATTATGCTGGGATTCAATCCTTCGAAAATATGACCTTCAGAAGAACGATTGGCTACATTCAATATATAATGTACGCCAACGGTGGGCTCCTGTTTATTTTCGTGCTTCTTTCTTTGCAGCCATTGCTTCCAATCAGGGATCAGAGAGCTCATTCTTTGACGGCTATGTGAACCAACAAACCACCTTGCCTATATTCATTCGGCAGTATGAAGCAGCTTTAGAAAATTCATTTGAAAAGGAAATAGAGTCAGATTTTGAAACAATATGTACCACTCCAGTGCTGAGGACACCATCGCCGATGGAGAAACAGGCAGCTAATTTATATACAAGATGGATTTTCTCAAAATTTCAAGTGGAATTAGTGGAAACATTTGTCTACACTGCAAATATGATTGATGGAGATGGGACTGTTAGCATGTACAGAGTTGCAAAATTTGAAGATGACAGCAAAGCCTACATTGTCTCATTGAATTGCTCTGAAATGAAAGCAAAATGTAGTTGCCAGATGTTTGAATATTCTGGTATCCTTTGTAGGCACATACTGACAGTTTTTACCGTGACAAACGTACTAACATTGCCATCTCATTACATCTTGAAGCGGTGGACAAGAAATGCAAAAAGTGTTGTTGGATCAGATGAATGTGGAGAACGACATAGTAATGAATCAATGTTAGCTCGATACAATAGCCTATGCAGGGAAGCCATAAGGTATGCAGAAGAAGGGGCTTTAGCTCCAGAAACATACAATGTGGCTTTGAGTGCTCTTAAAGAAGCAAAGAAGAAGGTTTCTGCTGCAAAGAAAAATGTTGCTAGAGTCATACCTCCCAACTCACAGGTCAGTGGTGTTTATGATGATCGGAGGTCATCCGGTTCTGCTCCGGATATGAACCCTATACTGTGGCCTTGCCAGGATGAAATGATGAAACACTTTAATCTCAATGTTTGCGTTCCTACTAAACCTGTCACTGATCTCAACATTCCTCGCATGGCCCCTGTTTCCGTTCACCGTGATGATGGTCACACGGATAACATGGTAATCACATTTCTTCTATTGTTTCTGCCTTCTTCTTTTTAACTTTGTTTCATAATAAATACAGTGAAGGAAATTTAAATTCCTCTGTTGGATTCTTTGGTTTTTTTTTTTAAAGGTGAGCCTTCCTTGTCTTAAGTCAATGACTTGGGTGATGGAGAACAAAAGTTCAACACCTGCGAATAGAGTAGCTGTTATCAATCTCAAGGTGTGTGTAATCCATATCTCTGCATAATTTGGCTGTTAGTGATTATTTATGATTGAGCTTGCTTTTAGTTTTTAGTAACCCTCTTATTTTGTGCTGTCCTTAGTATTTTTTTGATATGTGCTGAAATGTTGAAGGGGAATCTATTAGATTTTCACTATTGCTTAAAGCCTTCATAATTATATTCTTTTGACCCTCTTTATGTCCAAGGAGCTTTTGGTGACTGTTTTATTTCAGCTTCAATAACTATCTTGTAATCCTTTGCTGCTATTTTCGTAGTGTACTTTTGGACCTTTTGGTTGCATCCAAAAAGCCTATTGCTGATGTTTATAATTTCTGCTTATAGTTGCAAGATTATAGCAGGTCTACTCCACAAGAATCAGAGGTTAAGTTTCAACTGTCCAAGATCACTCTGGAGCCCATGTTGAAATCTATGGCTTATATCAGTGAGCAGCTCTCTACTGCCAATAGGGTTGCTGTTATCAATTTGAAGGTATACTGAAGAAAAACATGCATTTCCTTTTCAAACTCTCAAATCTGCTACAACATGATGGTGAATTATCGTGAATTTCTTCTTTATATTATATTATGTGCCCATATGCTGAAGTGTTTGGGTACAAGTAGCATTAAAAGTTATAATTCTTGCTAAGTGAACATCGTGGAATTATACTATAGTTGACTATGGAAAACATCTACTGAAGACTTGAAATACAAATGTGGATTGAAAAGTTGTAATATAAACTATAAAGTGTTTATTCATGAAGCTATTGCACCCTTTGATCTTAGAAGGAAACCATTGTTATGCCATGATAACCTTGGTAGTAATGTTATCATATAATATTAACATTCAGTAGTTATATTATATTAAATATTTTTTTATCTGCCTTTTCTTTAGCAGTTTAGGTGCATTATCCAATAAAAGAACTTTAGTACAATGCACCTTAAATTTCATAAGTCCATTTCAAAAATAAATAAATGTTCTCTTTACAGATGCGATCCCTAATTTTTTGTACTTTCCTTTTCTTAGATTTCCCCTTATAAATTTCAAAGTGGAATTATTTGTTTTGGCTCTCAAAAACAGTTAGCCTTCTAAAGATCAACCCTCCAATAATTTGCTGACTTGGTGCTTTCTTTTGAACATGTTGCGACTGTAATTGGAAATGAGAACAAATGCTTGTCTTGCTGAAACAGCTGATACTTTGATGCACTTAATTGCATGTTAATTACTCTGTCCTTAAAAAATTAAAATACACTGGTTATGATGTTTTGGTCATTCATAGACCAAAAAAACTTGTTTTTTTGGCCATAAATTTCTATTTTCAGCTTCAGGATACAGAAACAACTTCAGGAGAATCAGAGGTGAAATTTCAGGTGTCTAGAGATACTTTAGGTGCAATGTTGAGGTCCATGGCTTATATCCGTGAGCAGCTCTCGAATACAGTATGTTTCCTCAACTACGAAAAATGTTTATCTGTGCTGTTCTGTGAAACATGATGGCCTGTTATTTGAAGGCATTTGTTTGCTTTCCTGAATATGGAATCATTCTTTCTTCCCCACTCCATTAGTATTATTGACAACTTGACGAGCCTAATCCACATACTTTTGCAGGTTGAACCCCAAGTCGAGACTCCAAGTAAGAAACAAAGGAAGTAGAGATTGCATCTTCTTATCCACATTCAGGCTCGTGACAACAACCACATCTCGAAGTGGAACAGATGGGTGTTGTCTTCTTGTTAAATACTTGCTCCATATACAGTGAGGTTGAGTAGTGTAAGCTTTCTGTGTAGCTACTGGTAGGTTAGTTCCTCTTTGCTTTTTGTCTCCATTTATATGCTCTCCTCTTCACATTTTTGTACATGTAATTTTTGAAAGCTAGGAATGGAAGATCAGGTCTTTTCTTATGTATGTGGCTGATCATTCTAACACTAAATTACTTAGTGAAATGTGTATCTTTTAGGGTTATTCTTTGTCATATTTCAATTCCATAGAAAAATGTTACTTGTGCCAAATGTTTGTATTAAAACATTGGAAATTCCAATTGCCAATTTGCCATGCGCATCGCTGACATGGACATCAATGGCTTTTTCCCCAAAAAAAATTACGGAGTAGATACAAGTCCCCTTTGAGTTTACCATGCAAGGTGGATTTGAGTTCAAATATTTACAATTTACATACAAATATTCACAATTTATCTTTTAAAAATTCACAATTTGTGTACTACGAACACGCAATGTTAACATATATGTAATTGATTATCTTGTTTTGTATTCACAAGTTCTTTTAAATACTGCAGTCACACAATATTAACATTATATTCACAAATTTTCTTTTAGAGCCGCTATGTGTTTTGATTTAAAAACATAATTTATATTCTATAAATTCACAATCTCAATACTAAAAATACACAATTTAAACGTCATTTAGGACCAAGGTGACCACCTTGCCAATCATTATCCCATGGACCATTGTCTACACATTTATGTGAATCATAAATAAAAAATACATTATTTGTATACATAAAATATATAATCTTTTTTTATATATTATCAAATAATGTACATTTAATACATAAATAATATATGCTTAGTATATTAAAAATGTATTTTGCATTCATAGTTTACATAGCTATATAAATCATGATCCATATAATAATTTGCTACACCTTACAAGGTGAACCCGATTCATGGTATAACAACTCAAAAAAGAATGCACTTGCGGGAGAATGTCCTTTAAACGAGTATTTTGCACTTTTGGTCCCACGACTATAGTGGCACTATCAGAATTGATCCACGACTTTCCGACCTTGCAATTTTAGTTCACGACTATTGTTTTTTTTGGCAAAAATAGTCCTTCCGACCACTTTTCCGTCAAAATTTCACCGGAGTAAAATTTATTCATTTTTAAGAAGGCTAAAGTTGACATGTTTAAGAGGCTTGTATTACTGATTGTTTGCGGTCATATTTTGCAAATAAAGAATTGTTTTTTATCTAGGAAGAATTGTTAAGGGAAATGTCAAATTTAGCCCTCTTAAAAATGAAGAAATTTTACTCCGGTGGAATTTTGACGAAAAAGTGATCGAAAGGACCATTTTTGCCAAAAAAACAATAATTGTGAACTAAAATTACAAGGTCTGAAAGTCGTGGATCAATTCTGATAGTGCCACTATAGTCGTGGGATCAAAAGTGCAAAAAACTATCCTTTAAACGATAAGCCCAACAAGAAACTACAGGCCCACAAGCCACATGCCGTCTTCCTTCACAAAACCCTATAATGGCTTGCTATATAGCCGAAGCCACTCCTCCATTTCAAGGTTCCCTCGCCGCTGCCTTAGACGCTTCCGCTTCGAATCGCATCTGACTCCGGCCCTCCGAGCTAAAGCACAGCCATGGTTGCCGCCAAGAAGACCGTAAGTTTTTCACACTTCAGTGTGTGCTAGCATGTGTATATCAGATTTAAGAAATCGATGATATGATTTCTGGTTTCGTGTGATGATTTGCAGAAGAAGACTCATGAGAGCATTAACAATAGGCTGGCTCTGGTCATGAAGAGTGGGAAGTACACTTTGGGATACAAGACCGTCCTCAAGTCCCTCAGAAGCTCGAAAGGTTTTCATTTTTCTTTTAACATGAATTTAATTTTATTTGGTATTGCTTCGATTTTGGACTTAGTGTTATGTTTTTAAAAAATTAGTCACTTGTACGTACTTGTTGATTGTATGGTTACTCTGGAGCATTGATTATTTTCACTTTCTAAAATGTCAGATTGTTCTAGCATTAGATATTTGGGTTTTGCTGTTTAATTAGTAGTCTGTGGAATTGATTGCTAAAGCTTTGAATTGGAGCACTGAAGTATGTTGAGATCACTAGTTAAGTCTAATTAGTGATGTTAGAGCAAAATTTTCTCCCCTGGGTCAGGTTAAATATATAAAGCCGTAAAATAACTGTGTAGATTGGATGGTGTATGAAAATGTTACGAGTAGATGACACTAAAGATTTTTAATGTGGAAATCCTTAACTATAAGGTGAAAACTTAAGGTGATTTTGGATTAAGCCTAGCCAAACAAGCTTTCCCACGAAGAGCTATGTAGATGTATGTGGTGGTGGATCCTTGTTGTAGGAGTGTATTGATGAGAATGGAAAGAGAGTTTTATGTCATTCTCCTTTGCTATTGAAGTATGGGGTATTAGAGTGGGCAAAATATTGGAATTTGTCTTAGCTTAACCGAAAAATGCCTTTAGGTTTTACCTCTTAGTTCCCACATTAAAAGCCTATGGTATTGTTTGCTTCACACTATCTTGCACTATTTGGTTTACGCACACGGTCAACTTATGACCCTGTAATTTCTATTGTGGCAAAAATAATTTGCTGCAACAATGAAATATGTTGTCACGATAGGTCAATTGATATCTTTTTTTTTTCTTCTTCATTCCATTGCATTGCACTTGAAAAGTTTTCCTATGTTTCTTCTGTATACAAACACGAATGTGTATATATTTCTTCATTATTATTTTGTAGTAGTAAAATCAATGTTTTTGATACGGTGGGGATCCATAGTCATGGCAATTAGTGCAAGTAAACTAGTGAAGTTTCTGAAACATAACTATTAATTAACTCTTCTGTTTTCTGTATCTTATTGTTTTTTTCCTCAGGGAAATTAATTATAATTTCCAACAACTGCCCTCCTCTTAGGAAGTCTGAGATAGAGTACTATGCCATGTTGGCGAAGGTTGGCGTTCACCACTACAACGGAAGTAAGTCTACATTTAGCTTCAAGATCTAATGTATATTGCATATGATGATTAAATATTTTTTTCAATTTGAAAATGGATTATTAACTGTATGCTTGATCAATTTATTGTTGGTTCAGACAATGTTGATTTGGGAACTGCATGCGGTAAATACTTCAGAGTCTGTTGCCTCAGCATTATTGACCCTGGTAGGCCTATGTTTACTAAAATCTGGAATTTGAAACGAGCTGATTACTTAATGTGTATTGCTAACGTATTTGTTTCTATATATGTGCCTTGCAGGGGACTCTGACATTATCAAGAGCTTGCCGAGCGAGCAGTAAGATAGCAGTCAATGGGCGGTTGCCGTTCTCTTAATGTGATATTTCTTAATTTCGCCAGAAACTGAGATTGTCATTCTAATTTTTGTTCTACAATGTTAGTGTGTACTGTGTAGTTTATACAAACCATTTTATGCGAATGCCTAGTAGGTTTTGGATTTGTCTCATCTATGAATTTTGTTTTTGTCTATGATGTAATGAAGTTGGTTTTTCTTGTTTTCACAAGTTTTGCATACTACTCTTGCTATGTTTGAAATCCCTTCTACTGATTTGAAGTTATCCTCGCATCTTTTCATTTTAATTAATTCGAAATCATGTTAATAATGTTATTAATTAATGTGTTTAATAGGGGTGGTTGAGTTGGTGGAGTAGAATGATTTGTGAGGTTATGAGTTTGAGTGGGGGTGGTATTGATTTTTTGTGATTCGACTGAGAAAATAGTTATTCTTATTACATCGTGACAGAGTAGTAGTACTAAAAAAAAAGATTTGTAACTAATGATTTATAATTCGTTAAAAAAAAATTTTATATGTAATTATAATTATCTGATTATCCAATTTGAATATCAATTACGGAGTATAATTTTTTGTACAATTATAATTTAAGTTGATTGTTAAGTACCTTGTGCTCAAATAACAATCGTGGCGATGTTGACTCTTTGTATTTCAATAGGTTGAGAAAATAATAGATGAATAGATACTAGAATGTAATAGAGTCAGTAGCGGGGGAGAATTTCGAGATAACCCGAGTTTGATCGTCACTTAGAATGTAATAGAGTCAGTAGCGGGGGAGAATTTCGAGATAACTCGAGTTTGATCCCCACAAGTGACGATCCCCTTTGGGCCAGCTTCTGTGTCTCTAGAAGCGAACCGGGTGGACCTGGACCGTTAAACGGACAGAGAAAGACTCGACCACCATGTGTGGTTGAAACCAAAAAAAAAAAAAAAAAAAAAAAAAAATAGTCAGTAGTACTAAAAAGAAAACAAAAAAAAAAGGTTGATTCACACATTACATAGTTTATTTTGAACCTTTAGTTAAATCAAAGCAGCCAATATGATACATTTATACTGTGAGGATTAAATACGAGATTTTGGCATGAGAAATGATGTCTTTAATTTCTCACGAATTTAAATTTGCAAATTGGTAATCGAAGGATTTGCCTTCCCAAATTGGTGCAATTTCAATTCCACTTCCTCAATCCTCTTTCCCAGCTCTCAATTTAAGGTATATAGGGACAGAAATGGAGAGCGGAGGGGGTTTCACCGCCGGAGATCTGTCCACCATCGGCGGCATCGCCACCGTGTCGTTGCTGCATTCCTTCATTCCTACCCACTGGCTGCCTTTCTCCATCGTCGGCCGCGCTCAGAAATGGACTCTCTCCCGTACCCTCGTCGTCAGTCAGTATCCACCCCCATACACGTTTTTTTTTTTTTTTTTTCTAATTTTTTATGCATTTTTTGTTTTCATGTAAGTTTACGGTTCAGATCTGCGTGGCTGCGTCAATTTGCTTGCTGAAATGTTTAGTGGAAATTTGTCATATGCGTTTTTATTTTTAATTTTTCCAAAATTTATATTTATATGGTAAATAAATACAGATGAGATTAGATTGCGTAATTTGGAATACAGATCAAATCTAGAGCAAACTAGGCCATTGTTTTTTTGTTATGTTGAAGAACTTCGATTTGGTTTGTGAGCCCTGTTACATGCTCAGGTTTCTGGAAATGCATTTTAGCCTATGTGTGTTGTTAGTCATGAGCAGATTTGAGGTTTTTACTAGAAAAATTTCAAATGCTGAGGGACTATGATTATTTTCGTGTGTGATTTCAGAGGAATTGCTTTAATATTAACATGGTATCCATATTCTGCCTTCTCTTTACATGTAACTTAAAGTTTTAATGTTTCTTTTGCCTGTTGTTATACTATGCAAAAGTTATCCATCAGGGAAGAATTTCATCCTAACATCTTTACGTCAATCTTATTTTATGAGCGTATTTAGGTGTTTGGTGGACCTCAGCAGTGCATAATTGGTTAACTTTCTAGCTTTTAATGGTGGAAGTTTTTGCTATCTTATAGTTACTATCCTTCGTAACCTTAGACTATCTTGATCAGTTGTAGACAACACCAGAGCTAATCTTGCTCTAGCTGATATCTATTTGGTTTTCATCAAAAGGGATGAGTTGTGTATTTCATATTAATAGTCAAATGCCACATTCTGTGTTTAAATCTTTGACAACACAATCCATCATATATGTGCAATCTGTATTTAAATGTTCAGCAACATAATCCACCAATCATCTGCAAATCAAATTTCTTATTTGCTTTGATGGCGACTGAATTTTCAATGTCTTTGAGGAACACGATGCTATGGAGTATGGAATATTCATTCTAGATTTTGAGTTTGTTTTTGTTCTAATGTTCTCTTTATTCATGCCTGATTCTTTGAGCCAAAGACTGGTAGCCTCCAACACATAGAGATCTTAAACCTCAAAAGAGTTTTATAAATGAAGTTCAGTTTCGTTGAATATTTCTTTCTACTTATTAGTTGTAATGATAATGGTGACTCCATCTTTTATTACAGCTGCACTTGGGGCAGTTTTGCACGTATTGTCAACTTCACTTCTTGGCATAACTGCAATCACCATATCAAACACTATTGCTGGGGAGGAAACTGTGCACAAACTTGCTTCTTTGTTGCTCATATTTCTTGGTGGCAGTTATGTCATCTTGTTTCTCACTGGAAAGGGTGGTCATAGCCATTCACACAACCAACCCATGGAAAAAATGGCTGTGGCTGGGCTTGTTCTTGTGCCTGCTTTGTCTCCTTGCGCAACCACTCTGCCTGTATTTCTCGCTGTTGGAAATTCATCTACCATGATGGTGCTTGCCATAATAGTTCTTCTATTCAGGTAGTTCTTCTCGCTGTTGAACCACAAATATCTATTTCTGACAGTCTTTTAGAGTAGTTTTTGACACTGCAAAATGTATCTTATCGTTGAATGACAATCAGGCTCAAGAGACTGTCAGAAATAGATATTTGTGGTTCAAACTCTAATGCAATATTTCAAATATTTTTTATGACTTCACAAATACATGCGCCTTGCAAATTGCGAGAGTATATGTATTCTGAGAACACTATGACTAGATTAGGATTTAGTCTGTTTTTCTTGGCTTCATCATGAAATTTCCTATAGTCCCTCTGTGCACTTGTTTGAGATCTGAAAACTTCTGAAGCTCATGAATGCTATTTGAATGTTCAGCACCATAACGGTAATGACCTCGCTGGTGGCACTCTCATTTTACGGTGCAAGTCAGCTCAAGTTCCATTGGGTGGAGCGCTATGACAAGCTCCTCGTAGGTTCGGTTCTATGCTTGGTTGGAATCTTAACGCTCATATTCCACGATCACCATCATGATGGAGAAGCGGGTTCTGCTGGAGACCATCTACACAGAAAAATAATTGCACTGTGAGGTTTAAGTGTTATCCTCTTCTTGCTGAGTGTTAAAAATTAGTGTACATTTGAACCTTAACTCCTTAAGTAATGGAAAGTTCAATGTAAAATTTTTGTTCATTGTACTATTAATGAACATCCATATCTATTCAACTATGTTGGGTTAGCAGCATGCTACTTGTGTACAATATCAATCTAACACAACCAATCAATTCAGCTATTCAATATTCATGAAGTAATTATCTCGAAAGGAGTGACTGAGTGTGTGAAATATAATTCTCGTACTGAAATATTCACGAGTTTGATTATTGTCAACACCCTCTCGTCGAGTCTGTAACACGAGATCTTTTAGTGCGGTTTGCCTTTTATGTTTTTCTGTAGGTTGTTACACAAGCAAGGTTTACTTGTACATACCTTCGAGTAGTAGTGGTAAGTTTTCATCGTCAATTGTGTTAAAAACTTAAAATGTGTTTAGTAGACTGGATGACAAGAAGAACAATGTAGTTTGATTCTATTCTGATCGAGTGACATAAATTATACATATATCAAGTTAATATGTTTGATTCTGAACTCAGTAAATGAATTTAAAAAAGTATATTTTGGTGATATATTGAAGTTGAAATTGTGATTACAATATATTTTTACATGATTTTATTATGTCAAATGTAACAAATTAAGTTAAATATTTAATAAAATGTAACAAATTAAGTTAAATATTTTTACATAGTCTGATAATGGATTTAGCCAATGAAAAAAGTGAAGATTCCTGAACTAATAATGCTAATACATCCCTGCTTTCAGAAAGCAGAATCATTATCAGCATTTTGTCCATTGTCCAAAAAAGAAAATGCTACCACTCTTTTAGATGGGATAAATTTTGTTTAAATTAGTCTTTTAATCAATAATTATCTAAGTTGGTTAGTCAATTTATTAAACACGTCACCTCAAATGAAATTCATTTTGTTTAGAGAATATAGTAGTATTCTTCTTTTAAAAAATTGCTTTAAAGATGAAAAGAAAATTTCTATTTGGGAGGATTGGGGCGGTGTAAAAAGTCAAATTATACCCTCTATCATGGTTCAACTTGTAAGACGAATTATTGATAAATATTTATTTTTAGTATACTAAACACTTATTTTTAATGTACTAAATATTTATTTTTGACAATAAACCTACCGACTATAATATACTAAAATTAATTTTTTTAACATATAATATACTAAAAAAATAAAATTTCAATATATTACAAGTGTGGTTGTCGGTTTAATGATTGGTGTAATAGTTGAGACAAATATGACATGAGTATTTGTCCGTATTTTCTTTGTTGTATCACATCACATGAAATTGATAATCATGGTACAACACCATGTGCAATTCACCAATTTATTTATTTATTTTTAAACAAGAAAGAGTAAATTATTTTTTACTTTTTTTTGGGAGAATTTTAAAAGTCCTTTAACAATTTTATTTATGAAAATTAAAAAAATTATTTATTTGTACTAAGTAAACGTCACGCATATAATAATTCGTAAACTATACTGATAAAAAAGATAAAATATATCAAAAAACCGTGTGCAACTGAACTAATTGAGAGAGTATTAGTAAGTTATATATTAATTATATAATATTTTAACCTTTTTCTTGGATCTTAAATTAGAGATGTGGTATATGGTATAAAAGCTAACTTTTTGGTGGATTTATGATTCCTAATGCAAAATCTTGAAGAACACAACACCAATTAAATGAAAGTGGAATTGATAGTGAAAGTGAAAAGATGATGGAGATCCATCCATCCAAAGAAGTGAAAGAACGGTTACATTAGAGATGGTTGATTTGGTAAAGTGGAACTTTAGGTGGCTGGAGTGGGGCCCGGGCAGTCCAACACCGACCTTCTTTGTCTTCCTCCTCAGCACAGTATGCTCTGCAACGCCTTTTGCTATATTCTCTTCTGCATGGATGGATGGATTTGGTTCTCCTCTATCTCTCTCTCTTTCTTCACATGTAATGGGGCACACCCAAATCTGTAAAGACTAAAGAATCTCTCTAGAAAGATAAATATTCTTGGCTAGCTAGCTGGGTCTCACTATCTGGGAGGGGGGTGGGGGGGGGGGCTATTCCTCTCTGAATTCCAAGATTTTGCTCCATTTCCACTTTTCTTCAATCCATCAGGTACTGCTTCCACTTGGGTAATCTTTTAATTGGTGCTGATTTGCTTAAAGTTTGTAGCTTTGTGTTGGATTTGAGCTGATCTTGATTTCCTGTTCAAGAATTGCATCTTTTTTAACCTTAAAAAAGTCTGGGTATTGCCCTTCTGTTCTCTGGGTAGTTCCCTCACTTTTGTGATAGGTTTGGAATGAAGCTCAGTTCTTGGTTCTTGGTTAACTGTACTCACATTTTGTATGGTGAAAATGTGATGGGTTTTACTGGGCATTGTGTTTTTTGTGTGGTTGTTTAGGAATTAAGAGCCAGAATTGGATGTGAATCTTCATAGGATTTGAGTTTCTAGGTTTAGTTGTTGTGAAGGATTGCTTGTTTCCCTGCCTTGATGCACTTTGTCTGCTCTGTTGAGCAACCTTTGTTGTCATTTTCTGAGGATTTGTGTTCTGATGAACATCCTATGGACAATACACTTGGAAATTGAATTTCTGGCTTAGGTTGTCTTTGCTGCAGATGAATCAGGTTCAAAGAAAATTGCAAAGCTATTCTAATTACTTTCCATGTTTAGGATGTCCATTTGAGATTCTTCAGGAATCCTCATTAAGTTGTGCACTTTTGTTTTTTTGGGTGACAATGGAAACCCGCAGCCACTGCTCGAGGTGTTGTGCACTGGGTAAACCTCGCTTTGTGACCCTAGCCCGATAGCTGACTGGCTCAAACCAAGAAGGCCAATAGGCCATTCCCGTTGGGTGTTGAACTTGTAACCTCTGGGTAAACCTCGCTTTGTGATCCTAGCCTTATAGGCTTATAGCTGACTGGATCAAACCAAGAAGGCCAATAGGCCATTCCCGTTTGGGAGTTGAACTTGTAACACTGTGGTTACCAAGTTAATAGTCTGACCGATTTGGTTGGGTTACCCTAGTTGTGCAATTTTTTCCTTCACCATATGGAGGCCGGGAATGGAAATTAGCATTGAACAAAGAATCAAACTTCTATTTTCTTATATGATCAAGCTAACTTTAATTGAATAATATGTCCTTTTTCCATTTTATTCTGGCTCTCGTTCCATTTCAGCATATTTCGATTCTAACATGCCAAATGGAGCCTTGTCTTTTCATTATGTGATTTTGCCTGAGATTGTTACTAAATCTTGCTTCCGTTATGTTTATTGCATTGGTTTTTGTTCAGGATCGAATTGGTAATATATTGATGATCTTTGGGTGTTTGAATTGCAACGCGGGAGTGGTTTATTTCGGGGTTGTTTAATGGGGGGTGTGAGTTCTAAAATCGAAGAAGATAAGGCGTTACAGCTCTGTCGTGAGCGGAAAAAGTATGTTCGACAAGCACTCGATGGCAGGTGTTTTTTAGCAGCTACCCATATTGCTTACATAGAGGCGTTGAAAATCGCGGGAACTGATTTAAGAAAGTTCGTTGAACCCGAAGCTTCGATCTATACTTCAACCGATGTTATACCTCAGCCACTTGCATTGCCCGGGGGAAAGTCTCCTTCCCAGTTCTCGTCCCCGTCTATCTCACGAGGCGTGGATGGATCTCGGAATATATTCCCGTCCCCTTCGCCTCCCACCTCTGCAAGATACCACGCAAATCACATGAAGTTTAGAGGTTCGTTTTCGAGGAAAGTCGAAGAAATACCCGTTGTCCCGGTTACTATATCCGTTACTTCCAACGCCCCTCAGAGCCCCGGGAAGCCCGAAACGTCACTATCAGAAGCCCCTCCCGTCTCGTTAGAAGCTCCAGAATGGGACTTTTTCGGTCTCGATCATGGTCATGCATCTAGCAATCGTTTTTCCCCGAAAGAAGCAACGGGAGAGAATGCAACCGAGACTGGATATGACGGGGCTTCTCTATTGGAAGATGAAGAACCGAATTTTTCCTCCCCTAGAAGGGTCGAGTCACACGAGTCGGATGATGAATTTGATGACCCTCCTACAGAAACATTGGTTCGAAGCTTCGAAAATGTTAATAGGACGATGGATAATGCTGCAAATTCTTTGAACGGGGAGAGCAATTCACCTAATCCGTCCCCGTTAAGACGTCCATCTCGAGGACTAGTCGGGAACGGTGTGACAACGACCCCGGGAAGAGAAAACAATCCCGAGAATAAGGTTGCTTCAAAGGACTTCCTTTCCAGCATGAAAGATATCGAGCTCCTCTTCGTTAAAGCGTCGGATTCAGGACGAGAAGTACCCCGGATGCTCGAAGCAAATAAATTCCATTTTCGTCCAATTTTTCCCGGGAGAGAAAGTACTCCATCCCCTCCTTTATCTCTCACATTAATGCACATAAGGAATTAAATTTACCTTTTTCCTAATCTTTTCTTGGCAATTTATTACTTTGCAGGTGGTTTAATATCGAAAACATTGTTAAAATCTTGTTTCTCTTGCAGTGAAGATCCTAGCCAAGTTCCCGAAGGTGGGCCTCCTCGTAATTTACTATTACTTGTAGCATTTCTTCGTGCCTCGAGCTATGAAGTATGTTAACTTTTGATATACTTCACCGAATTCTTTTATTCTCGTTTCAGAACCTCCTCATGCCTCTATTAAGTATCTGACTTGGCACCGGACCGCATCATCACGTTCTTCGTCTTCCAGAAATCCACTCGGTGTGAACTCAGCAGACGATGTTGAAGATGTCTCGAATAACCTTTTCGATAACTTCTGTATGAATTCGGGGAGTCATGCTTCGACCTTAGATCGGCTGTTTGCTTGGGAGAAGAAGCTTTATGACGAAGTTAAGGTATTATGTTGGTTATATATATATATATATATATATATATATATATATATATATATATATATATATATATATATATATATATATATATATATATATATATATATATATATATATATGCTCGAGAATCGAGATGCACTTGTTTACTAGTATATCTACATAAGAGCTTCATTTGTTGTTTCTTGTTGAATTTGGAAGATGGAATGGCCTAGCCGGTAGAGAATAACAACCACCCGCCAGTTAGGCGGAAACAAGAATGAAGAATAGAAAATGTATATAAGACTGAAAGATATAGAAAATATATGATTCTATATTATCTCTGTGCTTCTAATAAAGAAACATAATACATATATATTTACCTATTCAGACACAACCCTATGGATAAACCTAACTCTTTATTTTTCAACATTTCTAAATATAAATTTCTTTGATTTCAGGCTTGTGAGATGGTCAGAAGTATATATGATTCGAGGCGCAAGGTGCTTAGACAGCTAGAATCGAAGGGAGAAAGTTCACGAAAGATTGATAAAGTACGCGCTGTGGTGAAGGATCTGCACTCGAGAATTGGCGTTGCCATCCACCGAATCAACTCCATCTCGAGGAAAATCGAGGAATTGAGAGACAAAGAACTTCAACCTCAGCTCGAGGAGTTGATTGAAGGGTATGCCTCCTCGTAACTCGAGGTTTTCTTGTAAGGTTTTGAAGTCTGATTTAGTTTTTGAACTGTACTTGCCTCCTCGGTTTTATCCAGATTAAGGAGAATGTGGGAAACGATGCTCGATTGCCACAAACTTCAGCTCCACATTGTATCGATAGCCCATTCCCCCGGGAACATCAAGGTCTCTATGAATTCAGATTCACACCGGGAGACTATTATCGACCTTGAAAACGAGCTGATTTCGCTATCCTCGAGCTTTATGAAGTGGATAGGTGCTCAGAAAACGTACGTGGAAGCGATTCATATGTGGCTCTTGAAGTGTGTATTTTTTGAAGACAAATCTTCCAAGAAGAAAAGGAAACAGCTACTACCTGCCCGAAAGGTCGGTCCACCGATATATGCCATATGTAGTGTCTGGATGGACATGTTCGAGTCTTTGCCCACGAAAGACGTGGTCGATGCCACGAAGAGCTTAGCAGCTGAAGTCACTCGTTTCTTGCCCCGCCACGAGAAAAATCAAGCCAAGGGTGCTAATCCTCCCCCACGAGACGATGCCTCGGGGGACTTCATTGCAGGGTATGATCGTTTCCAAACGAGCTTCGCTACTTTCCTTGCTCAGCTAACCAAATTCGCAGAGTCTTCTGTTAAAATGTTCACTCATCTCCAGAAGGCCACTCAAGACGCTAAAAGTGTCTATGCTCGAGTGAAAATCATGAGCCACGAGAACAGCATTCCTTCTCACGAGAAGGATCCGGAACCATGAAATGGCATCGAATGCTTAATAAAACCAGACTGCACAGATACAGGAAACAACGAATCGAACCATCATTATTATGTCGTATGTATAGATCGAGGCGGGAATAAAAAGAGGTAAACTTATTTTGAGCTTTTACATCACTGCTTGACTGAAGATATGAAATAATGGAGCTCAGTATAGTCATTCATATATATTATGTTTTAGGCATAGTTAAACTTGTAAAAGGAGATATAGATAGTGATGAAGAGATTATGGTCTATTGTGGGGAACTGTATTTGTTGTATATATTCATCTTAAATAATCAATCTTTTGGTTCCTTTAACAACTTACCAAATGTTTGGTACATGTTTAGAGTATCTCTAACCCATTTAACACCAAAACACCAAAAATCTCTAACAAATATCACATCAAAGAGAATATTCTCTACACCAAATTGTATTCATCTCCAACTCATTACACCAAAACACCAAATTTTTACATCAAATGTTATTCTACACTAAAATAATATGGTTTCTCTAATTTCAAAATTTTATTAATTCGAATTTAATTAGTGTAATATAAAATATAATAATTTGTGATGTAAAAAAAATAAAAAAAATTAGTAACATTATTTTTATGATGTTATTATGTTTGATTTATTTTAATTTTTAATTAATATATATTCAATATTAGTCTCGTTTTAATCGTCTTGATGATATCTTTCAAATGATATAATTTATTTATAATAATATAATATTTATATTTAAGTATTTAACGAAATATATAAATAGATAAAAACAAAATAAAGAATACAAAAGGAATTAACAAATAAAAGTAAGGGCAAAACAGGAATTAATTTTTTTTTAGGAAAATGCCGTGGATGAACATTGTTGCGCCAAATATGGCGTAGCACTGTTCATCATTTGGCGATTTGCCGTGGGTTGGAGTTCCAAAAAATGAGGGGATGGTGCAATGGCGTTGATATTTTGCGAAATGGGGTCTCCTTAGAGTTGCTCTTAGCAAGTTCAAATGGCCGCATTGGTAGCCATGACCAAGGTTCCAATTCTGGTTCGGTTTGAACCGAACCGAACCGTGGTCATATCTATGCCCTGGTGCCTTTTGCATGTATTGGGTTCACCCATGTATATTATATTAGATATCGTGTAGATAAGTATTGATAAATACCGGTAGTTGTATCTGATACAAAAAACATCCGTGTTTGTAAAAATTGTCACTATATACGAGTATGGTGGTTAACATGTCAAAGGGAGTTTACCCTTCTTTTTTGCCTTAATCTAAATTCAGCCAGGGTCAAACTTTATAACTTATAAAGTTTGACTTTTACTCATGAGAATATTTTGCCTAGTGCTCTTTTTCACAATAGTTGTAACTTCAATTCAAAGTGCACAATTGTTTCTTCTGCTCCAAACAACACGTAATCCATAATTTCTTTTTATCGAATGAATATCAAATTGAAAGATATATTCTATCTCAAGTAAAAGTCTGAATCGATAGTTAAACTGCACATTTATTTTTATATATTATATATGTTCAGTAATATATTTGATTAAACTAACACACCCACTTTCATTGAATTAAACCTCTAATAGTTTCAATAAAAGTAAATAACAATGAAGATCCCCTGTGCATGTGTTTCTCGACATTAATTCCTACTACCAACAACTTACGTATAAAAAGAGGAGAGGTTGATCCGGTGTGTGCCATGTGTGGAGTTGCAAATGAGGATATTATGCATGCATTGGTTTTGTGTGATTATACAAATATCATTTGGGCACTATCTAACCTTCCATCTCCAAATATTGTGACAAATATTTTTTATGAATGATTTAGTGCAATGTTAAATATTCATTCTGATGGTATTGCCTACGCAGCTGCAATTATTTACCATTTATGAAGAGCTCGGAATGGTGCGGTTTGGGAAGCATGTTTGCCCCGACCAAGACGGTTGGTAGCCACGGCCCAGGCCGATTTCGCTGCATGGCGTCATGTACACGGAGAAGTGCCAAGGGCGGAGACAAATCCCGCGCCAACCAGCGCCACTGCAGCGCTGACTGCTGCCCAGGGAGCCGAAGGAGAAAATCACGGTTTGGCCGTGAGCCATGCTGTCCACCATACTATGCTACACCACGCTCCAACACAATTAACGCCCAAATGCTATGTCGATGCCGGATATCATCATGCGGACAATACAGCAACGGTAGGAGCGGTATTAATAGGACCAGGTGGTCAGTTTATCTCGGCGTACAGTGCACCCTTGCCACATTGTTTTTCCCCACTAATGGCCGAGGCGTATGCATTTAAGGAGGCCCTATCTTGGTTACGCGAACGTGGAGAGCAAAATATAGAGCTATTTACTGATTGCCAGACACTTCAAAGTTACTTAACCACACCACAACTGCTGTCACGATCATATATTGGCTATGCTATTGATGGATGCAGGAACTATTTATCTACTTTTAATTATAGTCATGTTAATTTCATTCCTAGATCGCAGAATTATTTAGCACATAGTTTAGCTTCTACAGCTTTTCAGTATGATACAGCTATGTATTGGGATACTATCTCACCTGATGCTATTTCAGCTTATCTATGAATACAACCCATTGGTTGACCTTCAACAAAAAAAAAAAAAAAAAAAAAAAAAATAGAGAATCATTCTTAAATTCAACACATTACAAACTTCTCTTCCAACATAATTAATTAAAGTTCTTGTTCAATATGCATGCGCAATAGATATAGAAATGAATAATTAATTAAGTAAAATACAGAAATGAATAATTAAGTAAAATATATATTCCACTTGGAATAGCTGTATTGGATCTGGTGTACATGTGAAAATTGTCCAGGTGCATGCTATCTCTTAACAGGTGCCACCAACAAAACCCTTCTCACGTGACGACAAAAGTTTTGTCAAGTCGGTAAATCTTAATTTTCAGTACGAGGTTAAAAAAAATTGATTGATTATATTTTTACTGTAGACAATTTCAAATAAGATACAATCTTAATTAATATGTGCCAAAGATATTTATCATCTAACACTCTTTAAGTTGAGTCAATCCTACATAATTTTTATAATGCAGTTATCTCTCATGTGTAATTTACAGGTCATTACACAGAAGCGAAGTTTATCATGTGTATAACATCGAACAGTGACCACAGATTTTTCTAATTATTAAGAAAGTGATATTTTATCATTTGTTATTAATTTTGTAAATACTTTGTAATATCTATAATAATTATTAGTGATTGTTTTATACTAATTAAAATCATTCAAGGTCCTCCTGTTGCATTGAATGTTAGTTTTAGCCAAACTCTAACCAAATATTTAAGATGTTGGTCAGCATTCAACACTCATCACTAATACCTTTTATACTAAATACAATAATGTATGTTATGTCTGGTTACATCGAGTATTATAAAAATAAGTATTTATAATATCTAAAATAAAAAAAGAACCAATACTAAATCACAGTAATTTAATTAGATCGAAACTCCTTAATTATTATTATGAGTGTAATTATGGTTGGTAATAATAAGTTGGGGATGGTATGTAGCATGGCAACATGTAAGGGAGGGGGGGGAGGGGGGTCTAAAAAGATGGCCATTAATGGAGCCCACCAAGAGTCTTCTCCACTATTGACTTGAGAATTAAACAATGAGAAGCACATGGTTGAGGATGTTATAATGATTAAGGATGAGAACAAATGGATAAGTCTTAGTCATCTCTTCAAAGTCACCAATAATTTCTCTCTTTTTCTAAGCTATCCAACTAATGTGTATTGTTCAAGTCAAATAATTTCCTATTCACTTGTCATTTCTGATTGATGGATAGGTGGGGTAATATACCTTAAAAAAACCAAAATTATTTTTCTTTGGTAAAAGGGAGAATTATTAGTGTTGAATTCCTTGGCAAAAATTGTGTATTTTTCAAAGCTTATAACATGTTTATCTCGCAAAAGAAATATACGACGAATGAAATTTAAAATCAGTGAGAAAGGAATAATAACAGATGATTTCATATCCCATTATTTAGTCGGTAAAATTTCACACTGAATTTGTAAAACCTAAGATACTCAAACATGAGAATTTACAGTTATAAAAGATTATGGAGGAAACAATTTTCTTTTTCTACGAACCAAACGACTGTCAAAGAAAAAACTTTTTGATTGATTCAAGAAAACGAAAATAGTGCAAAATACATTTGTTATAGCTGAGTTCAAAACATGCAAATTGTTAAGTAAAAGTAAGATTATAAAGCGTACTTAAAGTTTAAACCTAACACAATATATCTGATCTATTCAATCACATCAAGAACATATAACTTATCATCGTAAGAAATAAATAATTTTTTTTTAAAAAATATCACACCCCCTTTTCTCTTGGCACAAAAAGAGGGTCTTAGGGGTGGGGGGTGGGAGGGGGGAGGTGTTGTGGGGGAAAGAATTTGGACATATAATTGTTAGATGGGGAACACAACAAGAAGAAGTGTGACAATGCAATGTACCATCCTAAAAGAGTGGGACATAGCAAATATAGTACCAAGATTTCTTTCCTTCATAAAGAGACAATCAACTGCCATCCTTTGAGGATGGCTATGTAGTTATCATCAAACTAATGAAAGGGGCATTATCTAATTCAACTTACCTAATTAAGAATATTCCTAGTATGTAAACCATATTATCATTGTAATTAATTTTGAATGACTTCCTTTTTATGTTCTTGTCATGTTTCTCGATCAGTGGTTCGAATTTAATGTCTCTATCATATATACATACACATATGAAACATAGATAGCGTTATTGTAAAAGTTGTAGGTAAATTTAATCCTGATCAAACTCGATTAACCCGCAGTTAATTTCAGATTTTTACCATGAGACAACACTGGGGGGTACCAAGATTTCATGCATGAAAATGAAAAACATAAAACTGAAAGGAAAGATTCAGAAGAACAGATTTTTAACATTCAAACATAACCAACCAACTTATAAAAAGATACAATAGATATAACAAAGGCATATTTTGCACTGCCCTTTGCTTGCTTGACAGATTACACATAACAATAATTATAATAATAAAAGTTCCTATATGGAAGATCAAAAATAGAACTTATTAAAGACCTATAATAAGTTTAGCAAATCTAAGAGAGAATTATATTCTCCATGCAATATAACCCTTTGACTTTCTATAACTATATGGGAAATGGAAATGGAAATGGAAATGGCATAGCTGTAAGGTGTTTTTGGACCTGAAAATGGCAGACCAAATCGAGTTGCGTTCTTGGTCCATAGAGCGGTGAGGCGAGGCGAGGCTGCAGACAACCTAGTACCAGCTGAGGATGTCTTTCTTTGGCAGGGGTGGAACGCCAAGTAAGCCTTCAGAGTAATCGGAGGGTGGGAGGTTGAAGGGAGGGCCAAACATGAAGGGGAGTGTCTCGATGGAGCTGACGTTGAAAGGGGAGTTCAGAGCCTTGGGCTGCTCGAACTGGTCTCCCGATGTGAACATGGGACGAGTCGAGGAAATGTTGCTCTCCTGGAAGATATTCCCCGGGATGATCCCTTGGTTTTGAAGGAAACCGCCCTGATGACACTGAATGTTGGTTTGTTGAAGAGGTTGTTCTTTAGCAGGTCCAGAGTTCCTAGGATTCGAGATTTTGTTCCCCTGGATGTTTGTGTCGTAGAACGACATGAGATCGTTGATCATCCTTTGCCCGTCTTCTGGAACACCGAGTCCCGAGAGATTGAAGGAAGGCGGGCTTGGATTGACGGGTGGAGCAGCAGTAGCAGTAGCAGTAGCAGCAGCAGCAGCTGAAGGCTGCACAAATTGTTGAGTAAACACCACGGGCTTGACTTCATTCATGTGGAAGTTCGAAACCCCGAATTGAGCAGAGTTTCTGTAAGGGCAAGTTAATTGATGATTGTCTCTAGCCAATCTGTCCTCGAACCCGAGCCCGAGCTCTCGGTGAGGGCATTGAGGAAACTCGCAAGTATAGATCCTATGATCCAACAAAATGGGCAGCTCATTCCCGGGCTTCCTCTTGTTGTTGAACATCTCAACACCCATACTCAGCAAATTGATGTTGTTTGGTTTTTGCTCTTGAACATCGAAGTCGGGGTCGTTATCGACCCCTTCAACGTCATACTCACCGCTATCGTTCACAGAAAACATCCCACTCCCACCGGTCGAGGATAGGGGCGGGCACCTCTCGGGGTAAAGCTCCCGAGCCAAGGCTTCCTCTTGGTTAACGATGGCAAGCCAAGTAGCACTCTCCTTGGCGGTCATCTTGTCTTGCAAGCACTTGGACTGCCTTACGAGCTTGCGAATCTTGGAGATATCGGGGGACATATGCTTGATGACAGCGGTGAGAACACCGACCTTCCACGCCTTTTTGAGGTCGTGTGGCTTCTTGTAAGGCGGGGGAAAGGCTTGGTCCTTGTGCAAACCCAATTGAGGCCACCACGCCTCGCTCCCGGTAGGCCACCAGGGCGGTGGAACGCCTTTCTCCAAAGGGAACCGTCTCTGAGGGGGGTCACAATGCTGCATCAAAGCCGAGAGCAACGAGCCAAGCGTGGTGTCCTGAAGCTCCTGCAAGGTGTGGGGAATAGGCCCAACCGGGCTCGAGTTCTCGTTCCTCCCCGGGATAGCATTATCCACTTGGTACTTGGCTATTGCAGCCGGGCCATTCCGATCAAACCTCACCTTATCCTTCCACCACTCCCTCAAATTATCAGACGCCCCGCTCACCGGCTTCCCTTTCTCCGGGATGATCCCGTAAACGAACCCCTGAGCCTTGCACACCTCCATCATCTTCAACATGTACTTCAAGATCCCGTCCTGAGCCCTCGACATCTTCTTCCTCCTCGCCTGCTCCTGAGACTTGTTCGTCTCCCGTTTAGCCCCATCCTCGCCCTCGCCCTCCTTACTCTTGCTCATCTCCTTCAAACGTTTCAGCTTCATCTTGTCCCTCCACATCCTCCTCTCCAGCTCCTCCATATCCATTTCATCGTCGCTATAGTCATCCTCCACCTCCACCACCACCGCCGCCTCGGGCTCAGCCCCGGGCGGTGGAGCAACCATATCAGCTGGCTCTTTCAGAGGAGCCAGGAAGGAATCAAGATCATTACAGAACCCCATATCATCAAACATCATCATCTTCAATCCCAGCAGCCTCTAAATCCAAGAACACAATTGGGAATTTGGGATTCAACAACCAAACCTGCAAATTCAGTGCCTAAAAAAAAAACAAAATTCAGTTTATCAAACAGAAAAGGATACATAAACCATAGTTGAATTGAAAAGAAAACAATGAAGATCACACCAGATACTATAATTCAACCAAAATCAGACAGAGAAAAAGGTAGCTTTACTGCTTTATACAATCATAAAATCTGTGATTGAACCCCACCCATCAAAAGAACTCCAAACTTCCCAGAATTCATAGAAAAAAGAGAAAAAAACTTGAACCCAGAAGCAGCCATTAAAAACATATAGATGAATCAGAACAGAACAAAACCACAAGTTTCTTCTGGTGTTTGAATTAAACAAAGCCAAAACAATAAATTCAATGAAGCAAAAAGGTGAAATCTTGACATTAAAAACAACACAGATATGCCCGCCCCACAAATCTTAAAGATTAATAATTCAAACACTCTGGGTTTGATGAGAAACTCCCCCCACCCCCCTCCCACCCCAACCCGCCAAGAACAAACTGAAAGACATAAACAATAACACAAAAAGATCCCAGCTTTGATCATGGAAAAAGGAAAAGACAAATACAAGAAAATCTTATGTACCTCAGAGGTTTCTGGGTTTTTTCTCTCTTCCAACAGTCTGTTCAACTCTTCTCTCCTTGAGAATAATTGACTCTCTAGACTTCAGAGGATAGAGAGAGAAAAGTACACACACGAAAGAAGGTTCAGAGAAATGGAAGTTACACTCGCACTGATGATGATGCTTTGTTTATTATCTCAGACTCTCATAAATAGCAAAACAAAATGTAAGAAAATGGTAATAAACTAAGTGTGCAAAAATTTATGGTCTGTATCCTCGAAATATCTAATCCTAATTATTACTACCGTTTAAAATTTTTGGAATAATATTATCAACGGTCAAAATTTGTTAAATAAGTAATATTATATTTTTAATAGAGTCAGTAGTACTAAAAATGAAAAAGTAATATTATATCTGTCACAATCATATATAGTTAATATTTTATTAATAAAATTACCGTTGAACAAAGTGAAATTTAAAATATTTTTTTTTTTTTTGGTTAAATGCAATTACATATAATATTTCATGTGTATTTGAGTAATTACAAATCAAGTTGGAAGAAGATGGAGAAAAGGGATGTGTAATGTGACATCCTAATTGAAAATGTAATTAAAAAAAATTATAGCATAATTTACATTATATATTATAATATGTCTTCTAAAAAATATATATATTATAATATGTATGTAAGTGATTATAATGTTTGATGACATTATGATTTCTTTGAAATTCATAAAGATTTTGTATTACTTGTTAGCGTAAGTTTTAACAATTACAAACGCTCGAATACATATTTTTAATTAGTACATACAATTACAAAATGCTTTTGTGAATAGTGGCACATCATATATATATATATATATATATATATATATATATATATATATATATATATATATATATATTTGTGTAATTATTATTATTAGAGAAAATTATAATTTATGCTACTCACAAATATTTCAATTATTAATGTCACTTTAAAATTATTATTGGTGTAAATTTTATCCCTCAATTTTCAAAACGTGACATATATTGCCCTTTCCCTAAATTATTTGTGGTGTAAATGTGATTATCCGTTGTTTTTCTTGTTCAAAGACAACATTTTTTTTTTTTTTTCATTTTTCTTTCTTCGTTTGTTCTCCTTCCGCTGACAATAATGTTTCTCCTTCTTCTTATTAGGGGAGGGGTGATATATGTCACGTTTTGAAAATTGAGGGACAACATTTACACCACTAATAATTCAGGGATGACATTGATAATTGACATATTTGTGAGGGACATAAACTACAATTTTCCATTATTATTATTATTATTATTATTATTATTATTATTATTATCGGTGAAGCACTTAGTTTTAATTTTATGAAGTGTGCGATAATAGTATGCATGATATTATATGAATGTTCTATAATTATGATATAAGACGTTACGGCTTAATGAACGACAATTGCTGAAGAAAAATAAACCTAGTAAAAAAATAATAGAAAAAGAAAAAGGAAGAAAGAATATGGAAAATTATTTTAATTTTCATACCAAACACATATATATTCTTACTTAATAAGTGATTTTAAAAGGGTGCTGTTATTTGCACCACTCTTTGACCAAAAGTGGGTATAAAGTATTTTGAAATTATAAAAAGTGAAAACTTTTAATAATTAGTAGGTAGTGTAAATAGCCAAATGGGGTACATTTTGCTATTTGCATCACCTGGTCAAACTTGCAATTAATAATTTGTTAATTCAAAATTTAATTAATTAAAACATTAAAAAAAAAAAAACGAAACATCACCTTCTCCGGTGAGAAGGCAGCCCAGTGGGTCGCTTTCTCATCGGAGAAGGTGACGTTTCGTTTTTTTTTTTTTTTTTTTTAAATTAATATTTTGATTGTTAAAATAAATGGATAATAAATATTACTCTTTGACCACATTTAATGATGGTGGTGCAAATAGTACTTTTCTATTTGCACAACCAATAAAGTTATTATACCTATTAAATAAGGGGTGTAAATAGCAAAATAGGTGGTGTGAATAGAATTTCTCATTTTAAAATCTATTATTTTCTTTAATTGCTCAAAATATCTTTTCTATTTTCCCAAAAAGATAAATCTATTTTGCTCAAAATATCTTTTCCAAATTGGGAAATTTGTCCAAATAATAATTTTATAATCTAATGTTTGGCTTCTAATCTGTCCAATTGGATTCTTATTAAAAAGACTTAATTGTTTTCTAATAATATCTTCTAAAATAGTCATTAATATACTCATCTTAGTTACAGCTTAACAAATGAGTAATATATATCGCGATTAGGGAAAATTATATACGTGATCTTAAGTTGGATAGTCATTTTTGGATGAATTAATTTCATTTTTGGTCCTACAATTTTTTAGGTTCTATCACTTTTGGTGTACAATTTTAAAATTTTTTTAATTTTGGTGTTTAACTTTGTTATTTTATAAGTTTTGGTCATTTTGATCAAATTGACAACGAAATGCTGCCAGATTTTATATTTTTAAGGGTAAGATCGTCATCCCATGAAAACATCTTCAATATCTGCACAAAATCACTGTAAAATAATATCTATAGGTGTTTAATCGATGAGAATAATAGGGAAGACGTGCAGAAACTAGACACAGGTCTATGAGATTTATAACGTCGACGATTGGCAAATCCTTTTTTTTTTTCTCTTATAATACTCCGTATGATTTTTCTTTTGTTTAATTTAGATATTGAAGATCTTTCATTGGGATGACGATTTTGCCCCTAAAAATAAAAAATCCAGCAACATTTCACCGTCAATTTGGCCGGAATGACCAAAACTGATAAATATAACAAAAAAGGCACCAAAATTGAAAAAATTTAATATTGTGCATCAAAAGAGATAAGATCTAAAAAGTTGTGGGACCAAAAGTGAAATTAATTTTTGTTCGTTTCTATACATATAGTTCTCGTGACAAACCATTACAATTTTTTTTTTTTTTTTTTTTTTTTTTTTTGTGATAAGAGAAATCTATAATTACTGTCAAATATTATACACGAGATAAACATCACTTGTGTAATAACTCGTAAACTACAGGCTAAATTATCTTTGAATATTGTTTTGATCAATTGGAAGGGTTCAACACAAGCCTCTGCCTAACCGCAACCAAAATATCTTTAAATTTAAATTTAAACACTTGATAACCAAGTTTGGCTAAGGGTCACGACAAAATCACCTTAATTATTTGTTATAAAATGCCAATCTTATATGGATCGTCAAATTAATGTACCTATAATACGACATCATTAAAAGCTGGTAAATATATTCAATGTTAGACAACATTTTACTTATTAAGGTAATCCTACCAAAAAAGTACGCATGTACTTATGGGGCTAAACGATAATGATGGAATATGAGCAAAATTATATTTTCTAAAGAAAGAAAGTTTGGTAGGGATAATTAAGCAATGAATTAGAGGTGGTCACGAGGCGGGAAATATGTGGCGGTACATTTTTTGTCGCCAACCTTGATTCCAATCTCATTGATAACATTTTACAAATTAAGATAATCCTATCAAAAAGTACGCATGTAACTAGGCGGCTAAATAATAATGACGGAATATGGGGATAATTAAACATAGCTAAGTTGGTTAGACTGTTTAATTATTAACCACAAAGTTACAAATCCGACTCCTAACGAAAACATTTTATTGATCTTGATGGATATATTACGAATAGACTCGGTGCGGATCAACTCGGGAGGAAATTGAAATCAAGTAACGAAGAGCCCCAGAACTGGACCCTGATGATTTGGGCATGGCTAAGCCTGGTTGGCCCAGGCGTGGCCAAGCCCAGCCAGCTCTGCAATTGCTAACCAGGTTGGGCACATCGCTCGACCACCATGTTGGGCCCAAGGATGGTCACAAGTCGGAAAACCATTCATATTATGTATCGCAAACTTGATTAGAATTATCGCAACGAAAATCACAATAGAACTTTACAAAAAAAAAAAAAAAGTGAAAATTTGAATATGTTCATTAGAGCAAACCGTACAAAAGTAGAATCGATCTATCTATCTATCATATTAACAAACTCAATTTTTTTTGTGGAACATATCTCAAATACACAATATTTTTAATGGATATATGTAATATTTTTATATGAGTTATCAAGCATTACATTTTACTGAAAAAGTATTACTTGTTTCTTGAGAAGCGTTAGTGACAATGCAATGTATACTTTTAGTATAAATTTAATGTATGTTAACCTATAGAAAAATGTTACATTTTTATTATAAAAAAATATATCAAATAAGATAATACGAGCTCACGCAATATCTAACCGTTAAATGAATACAAACTAATTGTATTGTCATAGAAAGTGACTAGAATATCACTTCATTAAAATTGTTTTCAATGATGTGTTGGATTCTTGAAATTTTGATGAAAGAAGGATTTTTTTTTTTTTAACTTTAATTTTACTTTATGCCCTAATATTGAGACTGGTTGATGGTGCAACTTGGTGATTGTGACTAGAAATGAACTTGGAGGGCACAGCGTGGCAATGAATATGAAATTAATTAATTAATAATGTCTTATTGTTTAGGAGGGTGTGGGATTGGGGGATGGGGTGAGTTGTTCAAATACATTTTGTGCTATTGTCCTATTATATGATAATGATAGTTTTATTTATTTATTTATTTATTTTTAATTTTTAGAGGAATTGCTTTTAGAGTTATAATATAATTAAAATATTTTAAACGTATTAGTTTGAGTTGCGCGATTGATAAATGAAGTGTTAATCCATTTGTTCGCAGTTAGGGTTTTCTGACTGGGTCCGAGTCG